AACACATTATTACTCAATGTGTATTTGAGTCCTCCATGTAGGAAACGAAAATCCAAACTTAAGTTATCCACCTACAGTGAACCAAAAATGGATAAATATTAAACACGTTTTATTTGAATCTTACAAGATTACCATTATGTACAAATTTAGAATCACATTTATAAATGAACAAACTAAAATAAAAATACATTTTAATTCAATGCTCATTATTTATTTTCCAAAGTCACAGGGAGCCACAACAGAAGGGTGAAAGAGTCACTTGCGACTCTGGAGCTTCGGGTTGCCGACCCCTGGTCTACATTTCCAAAGCTCAAAAATCCTCTGTTCCACACTGTGATGTCATGAAGTGGTAGTTTTCAAGTTAACAGCTCCTTTTACCTTTTAGTTGAGTAGAAACGATCAATTCCTGATCTTCTAAATGCTTCTAGTGCAGGTGTATGGAGTTTAAAAATAATGTGGAGCACAAGATGGAGCAGCGTATTTTTCGACTGAAGGAAGAACTCAGCCTAAATATGCAGGATTTGTGTGTCAAATGTGTGAATGAAACAAACCAGATTCCAGGTTTGTTTGTGATGAGGAAACAACATTATAACAGATTAGAAAGTAGCACAGTATGGCTCCTTTACCATATGAATCAATACATCTCTAGGTACCACTCAACTATAAAGCCAATTTAAATCCCAGGCTGGAAAATGCATAAATATTAACAAACAAGTAAGACAATGAGTTTTCGGTAGATATACTTTTATTTACGGTCATGTATTTTTCATCAGGTTTTGCGAAGATACAGGTCTGTAGTCTGTGCAAACATGCTTGACAACATTACAAAGCTAATATTACTGCACTTGCTCTCACCAACAACGCAGTAAACACTAACAGACTCAAATGATTATAATTACAGGCTGTATTCAATTACAGACCATCCTATAGATATATTTAGAAAAATATAAAGTCCTACCTTTTAAAGTGACAAAACACATCCACATAGGCAGTGATTAAGAGGGAAAATAGGAGGGTCATTTGGTATAATGGAGATAATGGCGTTTTATAGTTGTGGTATTATGGCCATGCAGTGTCATGTCCTGCCTGGGGAACTTAATGCATGGACATGTGTGAGTGTGTGTGTGCCTGTGATTGGGCTATGTCTGCACATAATAATCTAAAGGGAGAAAAAATAAAAATAAAAAGGATAACAGGAGCAGCAGCAAAACAATAACACAACATCTCTCTCCCATTGTGTGAAAAAAACAGGATTCATGCCATGCACTGTTTTAAAGTGCACTCTTTAACTTTTTCAGTTCAAAGGTCAGTCACCTTGTCAGCAAGGAGATGTTATTGGTTTGCCTATCAGCCATGTCAGCCTCAGGCCCGGGGGCCCAATTTGGCCCATGAGATCATATCAAATATGTATTAGAGCTGGCTCACTGGCTACAGATAGGCTACAGAGACATTATTTATTTAAAATTTTGTAATTATTTTATGTTATCCTTGTTTTGGATTCAATATTTAAGCAAAATTATTATAAAAAATTTATTTTAATAAGAAAAGGTTTAACATTACATATCCCAAAAGAACAGAAAACATGCAGAAGTTTCAATAAATATTTAGTTTGGCCCTCGACTTAGTCCCAGTTTTTAATTTTGGCCCTCTGTGAATTTGAGTTTAACACCCTTGGCCTATACGTTCCACAATATGGCTTTAAACCTATCTATCTCCAGAAAGAAAAATGTATTCAGTTTCAGAATACTGAATACCTGAATTAAAATGTATTTTGTAACATATTCCAATATTTGAGGCAATCAAAGTACTGTATTCTGAATACTTAGAATAGTTTTAAATACCACCAAATGAAAGCGTAACTATACCGCAATACATTTACTCAAAATTAGTTTTCAGTCAGTATCAGTACATATTTACCAGGCATCACCGTGCAGTTTTATATCAAATCTGTGGAGAATTACAGGGAGAATGCATGTTTAAAAAGAATTAAAGCATGCATAATTAAAAATGCACGTAGATATGCCTATATTTAATGTCATACTGTGTGAAATTTTCTTGCAATAACATCACCATGGAGACAAGCAGGTGGCAGACCTTATGCCGGAAAAGTTACATAGAGCACCTTTAACAAATAAAATGTCAAAGGGAGCTCTGAAGGCTCTGAAAAACCTCAAAGAGACATTGTTACTGTGTAAAAGTTTATGAGAAGCAGAAACTTTACAAGAGAGCAGAGTAACGTAAACCTTAACAGTTTCACTTAAGCTTTGTTAGACTGTAGCATGGACAGTAGACTGTGAAAGAATGTGGAAAGAGGAAGATGTAAGTGCATGTTTAAGGAAAGCAATTTAATGCAGCTACACAAGATCATCAGACAGGCTTGTGCAAGTTCCAAGCTCACATACACAGTGTATATATATATATATATATATATATATATATATATATATATATATATATATATATATATATATATATAATTTTATTTTATTTTTTTAAAACACAATGAAATCAACATGAATAAGCAAACTGGTTATTGGACTAACTGCATCATGTCTTTTTAAAGTTATCACAGTGAATACTTTGCATGTTTTTTTTATTTTTATACCCACAAAATCACAAATCCCATGCTGTAGTTTTTTTATAATGCTATTTAATTAAAGAACATAGAGCTGTCTTACTGTCCAGTCATCAGGTTCTTTTACAGAAATTTGGGGGCCCAGGGCAAGAAGCCTCACATGGCCCCCCTCTAATAGAAATGAACAGGAAGAAGTTCCAGTTCTGTTCCCCTAGGACCCTGGAGTCCGGGACAACAGACTCTTTACCTAGAACATCTGCTGTAGCATGTTGTTGTCTTACATGCTATAAGTACTTCAGTAGTGTATATATTTACATTCCAGTATTTGCACTTTATGCTTGCTCTGATACAGTTTGCACTTGCCATGCTACTGTTTAAATTCTTGAAATGTGGCCATGGCAAATCCTTGACATCCCAAATATCTCTGCTTGACTTGCTCTTACATTAACTCATGAGCAGACCCATTGACAGATATTTGGGCACCCAGGGCAAGAAGGCTCACATGGCCCCCCCTTCCGATATAAATTAAGAGAATGAAGTTTCAATTCTGGGCCCCTTAATACCTGGGGCCCGAGACAACAGACTCCTTTGCCCCCATTAACTCCCCTGCCACTCATTATAATTACGACTCTTTATAGTTAGAATTGTAATTGAAACCTTCCACCCTCTTCCTATTCATTTATATTAGAGGGGGGCCCATGTGAGGCTTTTTGCCCTGGGCCCCCAAATTTCGGTGGACGAGCCAGCTGTTTAACGCACTAAATGTAATTTTGTTGTTACTTGCGACAACGACAATAAATCCTTGAAATCCTGAATCCTTGCAAACCAGAAAATAACTCTGCTTGACTTCTCTGCTTGAACTGCTCTTACAGTGACTCATGAGCATTACAGTGAGAGTAGTTGTACCATCTGCCCAGTCATAATTGTCTCACTGATGCGACCCTTGCACGGACGGAGAAACAGAGAAACTACAGTAGACGACGCACACTGGCGCGGTGAGAGGAGAGCAGACTCATTACATCCTCATTAATGCCAGATGCCAATGCTGTGGGGCGTCAGATGGGAGATACAGGACGTCAGCGGGCCAGATGCAAACACCAGATTGGATCAAATGTCCATCCTAAACAGATTTGTGAGGGTATGTTTGGACTAGAGAGAGTATTGCAGATGGAGATGCCGACTGCTGTGCGTGCTTTCCAAAGCTACTAATTACTGGAGCACTATTGAGAAGATGTGCAGGGTTAAGTGAGGTAATGACTGCAAAAAGACTAGAAATGAGGTAGCCTGTCAAACGAAGTAAGTATTAGTTATAAGCAAGGGATTTCTTTATAATGTCAAGATACTATTTAACGGGACATGGTCGTCTCTGTTAGCCTATTTAAAACAGGTATTTGAACTTATATTTTAATTGGAATTATATGATGGTCTTTATGAAATACACCTTTTCAACTTGTAAATTTTTCTCTTTTTTTTTTCTTTTCCTCATTCTACATTCTTCAATAATCCCAGTCTGTTAAAGGTGCACTGTGCAACTTTTCTGTTAGAGGGTCTGCCACCTTCTTGTCTCCATGGAGATATAATTGCTTTGCCTGAAATGTTCCATGGTATGACTTAAAACATCTCCATCTAGTATTTATTCATTACATGTGTTTTTATTACTCAAAAATAGAATAATTCTTTCTGTGAATAGGAGCCACTCTCCACAGATCTGAATTGTACTGTAGCGTGGTGCTGTAACCTGTTTGTTTCCCTCACGATCGATACGTTTAATCTATACTGTGGAACATTCTAGACGCAGTAATGCATTTCCATGGAGACAAGCTAGAAATGGTATACTTTGCAAGGGTCCTATATGACATTAGGCGATTATAATTATAGGTATGTACTTGTATATCTTGCTTCAAATGCAGCTTAACCTTGACATGCTTGTCCTCAAATATTTTTGGGAATGTCACTGCCCATAAAATGTCAAAAACCCAATAAACCAAGACACTAATGACAATCACAAGAAGTCTGTAAAGGAGTAAATGATAAAATACATTGTATACTTTGGATCAGTTCAGTGTATTTTTAATTGGGGAGAGAAGGTGATTGTGCCCAAAGAGACCACCCATCACCCAATTCTATGGGATTTTAGCAGTGACAAATGAGAAATAAGCGGACATGCCTGAGGTGTGAACGGATTTTGGCTTAGGTTTGGTTCAACAGTTCTGAACTAACAAGTAACATGCTGACGTTTAAGCTGTGAGTCAGTCTAAAAGAGTGGACTACAGTTAGTTGTGAAGCAGTTATAGTTATATAGTAAATCAGTCTTTTATTTTCTGTTTTTCTATTGGTAATTTTAGTATTTTCTCATGTTTTTATTGACTTGCTTATTATTTTTATGGTTTTATAGTTAATTAGTTAGTGTGCATACTCTGTGGAGACTTTGTGCTGGTAAAATGTGCAACAAGTAAAGTTGGATTAGACTGAATTGAAACCAGAGAGAGGAGAGAGATTCATCATGAGGGACTCTCTCAAAAATCCTTCACTAAAAAGAGGTTACTTTAAAGTGAAAGCATTTCAACTCTTTCTCCCTCTTAGACCACCGGGACAAGTTCCTAAACATTTAATAGGTCCTTAAATGCACCACATCTTATCGAGCGGTTCTGGGAGAAGTAAACTAAGAGACAGTCAAGTAAATATTAGCATTGAGGAAGCCTTCACACAAAGAAAGGCCTCTGTGTGAAGGCTTCTATCAACCCATGTACCACTTAAATAACAGTATTTTTGCTCGGAAAAATGTGATGAAAAAAGAAATAGAAACCATATAAAAAGATCGTTCATGATTTGGAGCAAAGCAGCCCTCTTTAAGATGTCTGCAGTGAGTTGTAGAAAGCCAAAGAGTATACACACTTGCCCACTTTACACTTATACAAACACATTGGCAAATTTAAACAAGACATTAAGAGCATACAAGTGCGTCAATAGAGAGATCTGCAAGTCTCCTAACCATACATGATATAGTATAGGACACAGTAAGAATATACAGTATATCATAACAGTCTGCAGCTCCATGGTCCCATAGCCAGGGCATCATCTACAATAACTGCCCCACCAACAGTGTAAAAATCATTTCTTGTCTAAACATTTGGACAGCTACCTGGCAAAACAAAATGAAAGGTGGTCAAGCTGGAATATGCTACACTTAATAAAACAAACAAAAAAAAGTTTGTGTCTTTTAACTTTATGAAACTAAAACTATAGCTACAGTATTTTTCATCTGAAGAAGTCACAGTTTGAGATGACCATAGGAGGTGGAATGAGACATGGAGTAAACTGCATCAGACTTGAGCTTTTATAATATGAATGAGAAATGTTAAAAGTGCACTGTGTAACTTTTTGGTTGGGGGTCTGTCTCCTTCTTGTTTCTATAGAGATGTCATTCCTTTGCATGGAAGATGGTTTTATAGCTGAAAAATACCTAGAAAACCAGACATTGTGACTGTGAGCGCGGTTGTCTCCCTACAGATCTGACCTGTAACTTGGTCTGGTTTGGTGTCCATGAAGGTGTAATACTATGCTGTGAAACTTTTCAGACAAAGTAGTAACATCGCCACTGAGAAAAGAATTTGACAGATCCTTCACTAGAAAAGTTACATAATGCACCTTTAAAATCTAAAAACATATTTCCTGGGGGAATATATAAGAAAATATACAGCAACCAGCAAGACAATTTGATTACCTTTGCATTGTACTGTTTGTGGAATGTCATTTAATACCAAGAAAGTTTTTTTTGTTTTGTTACGGGAGCAAAATGTAACCAATTATTCATCGCACTTCATAAGCTGAAGCCTTTGTTGTTGTTTTTAGATTGCACTGAAATAATCAGATTCCCAAACAAAGGTGTTAAGTCTGCTATGATCATGTTCTTTGTCACAATGTTGATTTTCTGTCTCATTAAATTATTTCATTATTACTGGGGTATTTTGAGATGTATAGATAAAAGTATTTCTGAAATTGTTCTTACAAAGAAAACACTAGTCTTATCTTGATATTTGGTTCTGTTTACATTAGTTTTTATGGGATGTACTTTAAAGCAAAAGTATGTAACATTTTTGCAAAATATAAACTGGAAAATAGCACTTTTTAAAAAATGGTTGCATTGATTGCATGAGTCCTAACAGTTTAGATTGAATTATGTAACTCATGAGTAATGCATTAATCAATTTTGCATAAAATGAGAACACCCCTAAAATGCTCACTAAAATTACATTTAAATAGAACATTGGCAAGTCTGAAGTCATGTGCCCATCTTCGAGGTTAAATGAAGAGACATCGGGAGTTTACACTGAACTATCTGTAAATAAATAAATAGCCTTTATAATTACATTAAAGCTATTCATATTAAGCATTTAGCCACGCTCCAAAGAGTCGTATCCTGATGTGTGTTGAAGCCTATGGTGTAATTATAACACAGCGATGAAAAGAGCACCACAAGTACCAAATAAAACAAAACAAATTCACCTCATTCATGACTGCAACAGACCACAGTGGGTCTCTCCCAATCCATTCACACTTTACCCAAACTCATCTGATTCACCACGTTCCTGAGTCCACTGTTCAGCTGTTTCTCTTCACACGGCGGAGCTGGAGACCTGGAGCCAGCCCACTTCGGTGTATGCTCCGGTCACGTGCCAGTACACTGCACCCATCAGTTTGGTCCACACCAGCTGCACCTCTTCAGTGAAGCATTCTGGGTAATCCTCTGACAGCACCTCCAGCATCACGCCACTCAGAATCTGGGCAGGAAAAGAAAAACAATACACTGGTGTTATAGATAGTACACAGATCAAGTATTTCATAGTACTCAACTCTGTGCTGTTGTTGGCCATTTTGTATTGCTAATCCGTTAAAGGGACTATATTGTGATCTGTTATAATGTTGTTTCCTGGACCTGGAGGTGTGTTTTGTTTCATTCACACATGTTTAACACTCAAATCCTGCATATTTAGGCTGAGTTCTTCTCTTAAAAGAACAAACAGAACACACTCTGATTAACCTTGTGATGTCATGTACTAATACAGAAAGTGCTCCACTGTGTTTTTAAACTCCAGACACCTTCACTAGAATCATTTGGATAATTTCAGCCATGGAATTGCCAATTTCTACCAAACAAAAGGCAAAAGGAGCTGTTGACTTGAAAACTAACCACTACATGACATCACAAGGTGGAACAAAGCATTTTGAGCTTTGGGGATGAAGACTTTATAATAAAGGATTACTCAAACGTGTATGAAATTCCATGCGACGACCATAGTTTTCTGAGGATTCATGTGGTTTAGAGGGACGTAGTCAAGGCAGGGGCCACATGCTTTCAAGGCGGCCACTTTAACTATAAATAAAGTGCTGTGGGAAACATTGATTTCTCCAGTACTGTCCTATAGTGACCTGCAACATGAGTGTCCAGAACTGAACCAGGACTAAACCAAGACTAAATCTGGTCTAAACCAGGACTAAACCAGGACTGAGTGTTGGGGCGAGCCCAGACTGCCAAGCTTTCTATCAGGAAGTACAACTTGCTGCTGCTGCTCAGACATAAATCCTTCAAATGCAAGGTTGATTTTAGTTCTAAAATTATTCTATCGACACAGACATTCACATCGACAGTCTCAAGTGCACTGTAGAATGGGTAAGACTGTTTTAATGGCAGGTTAACTATGGCCATTGACATGCACTAGCCTAGCACCAGCGACCTCTGCAATACTGGATGGAATATTTAAAAAAGAGTCTCCACACTTCTCCAACACTCCGGCTAACTAGGATATGAGGCCCTATGTCTAAAATTTCGGACTGTCCTCAAAAAAACCTCACAAAAGGTTATTTTGCGCAATATAGTACCTTTAATCGTCCCCATTTGTCATAGTGGTAAATCATTCATATTGTTTAAATATGTACTGTATATGAGCCTGTTTGTAGCCATAATAACAATCACAAAAGTAATGATATCAAGAAAAAAAAGGAAGACCAGTATTAATAAAACAGCAATCTGTTCACTTTAAATGTAGGCGAGACAGGTGAGAATTGAAAATGATAAAAACTTTAACATGAAAGTGGTGGGTGGACGGGCAGCAGCGAGGAATCAAAATGATAATGTGCAGAGGGACACCACTGGAGTTCGGGAACAGAGAAGAAAGCTGCATTTTAAAGTGGAAAATGGGCCGTGGTGTCATACATAAATTTAAGAAGTGGATATCAATAAATATGAGTGGGAAAATATATATACCCACACCCTGGTATAGGTATGAAAATACATTATTACATCTGTTTCTGTATTGAATTATGGCTTGCGCTGTTATATTTTAGTTTAATATGAATCCAGTGTATATGTGTATGTGTGTCTGTTTTTTTTGTTATGTATTTCTTTTATTTTTCTGTTGTTATTATTATGTCAGGTATTTATGAACACCCCATGAATGCTAAAATGATGCCAGGAAGAATAGCTGTGCTTCCACCGCTAAGGGAGGTCAAAATAAATACAAATGCAAACCCTCTGGTTAGGGGTGTGCAAAAATATTGAAATATCAATATATCGTTTCGTTTAATGTGATGATAGAATATCGATTTCGTGGGCTGCTGTGTCGATATATCGCCAAGAGTATTTTTTCGCATATTTTACTAAATAATTTTGTTACAGTGCTGCAATTTTATTTATTTATTTATTTTTTTTGCTTGTTTAGTGGAAGGAAACTCATTTATGTTGCACATTTGACATTTTCACTGTTTTCATGATTAAAATGGGAGTGTTTCATATTAACTTTGCACAAGAAGTTGTTTAACAAGGACTTTTTATATCACAGCCATGATTTATTTTTTATTTTTTATTGAACCATATTAAATCGTTTAGAAATATCCATCCATCCATTTTCGTCTGCTTATCCGGGGCCGGGTCACGAGGGCAGCAGCCTAAGCAGGGACTCCCAGACTTCCTTCACCCCAGAGACGTCCTCCAGCTCCTCCGGGGGAACCCCGATGGCGTTCCCAGGCCAGCCGAGAGACATAGTCCCTCCAGCGTGTCCTGGGTCTTTCCCGAGGTCTCCTCCCGGCGGAACATGTCCGGAACACCTCCCGAGGGAGGCGCCCAGGAGGCATCCGGAACAGATGCCCGAGCCTCAACTGGCTCCTCTCGACGTGGAGAAGCAGCGGCTCTACTCCGAGCTCCTCCCGTGTGACTGAGCTCCTCACCCTATCTCTAAGGGAGCGCCCAGCCACCCTGCGGAGGAAACCCATTTCGAGCGCTTGTATCCGCGATCTTGTCCTTTCGGTCACTACCCAGAGCTCATGACCATAGGTGAGAGTAGGAACACAGACTGACCGGTAAATCGAGAGCTTCGCCTTTCGGCTCAGCTCCTGCTTCACCACAACGGTCCGATACAGGCGACCGCATCACTGCCGAAGCTGCACCGATCCGCCTGTCAATCTCACATTCCGTCCTTCCCTCACTCGTGAACAAGACCCCGATATACTTGAACTCCTCCACTTGAGGCAAAGACTCCCCACCCACCCTGAGAGGGCAAGCCACCTTTTTCCGGTCGAGAACCATGGCCTCAGACTTAGAAGAGCTGATCTTCATCCCAGCCGCTTCACACTCGGCTGCAAACCGCCCCAGTGCACATTGCAGGTCCTGGTTCAATGAAGCCAACAGGACAACATCGTCTGTGGTCCCCAAACCGGACCCCCTCCGGCCCCTGACTGCGCTTGGAAATTCTGTCCATAAATACAATGAACAGAACCGGTGACAAAGGGCAGCCTTGGCGGAGTCCAACATGCACCGGGAACAGGTCTGACATACTGCCGGCAATGCGAACACAGCTCCTGCTCCGGTCATACAGGGACTGGACAGCCCTTAGCAAAGGGCCCCAGACCCCATACTCCCAGAGCACCCCCCACAGGACACCACGAGGGACACGGTCGAATGCCTTCTCCAGATCCACAAAGCACATGTGGACTGGTTGGGCAAACTCCCATGAACCCTCGAGCACCCGATGGAGAGTGTAGAGCTGGTCCAGTGTTCCACGGCCAGGACGAAAACCACACTGCTCCTCCTGGATCCGAGGTTCGACTATCGGCCGGATTCTCCTCTCCAGTACCCTGGAATAGACCTTACCGGGAAGGCTGAGGAGTGTGATTCCTCTATAATTGGAACACACCCTCCGGTCCCCCTCCTTATACAGAGGGACCACCACCCCGGTTTGCCAGTCCAGAGGTACTGTCCCCGAACCGCCACGCGATGTTGAAGAGGCGTGTCAGCCAAGACAGCCCCACAACATCCAGAGACTTAAGATACTCAGGACGGATCTCATCCAACCCCGGAGCCTTGCCACCAAGGAGCTTGCCAACCACCTCAGTGACTTCAGCCAGAGTGATGGATGAGTCCGCCTCCGAGTCCCCAGCCTCGGCCTCCTCCTCGGAAGACGTGACGGTGGGATTGAGGAGATCCTCAAAGTATTCCTTCCACCGCCGGACAACGTCCCCAGTCGAGGTCAACAGCTCTCCCCCCGCACTGTAAACAGTGTTGGTGAAGAACTGCTTCCCCCTCCTGAGGCGCCGGACGGTTTGCCAGAATCTCTTTGAGGCCGTCCGATAGTCCTTCTCCATGGCCTCCCCGAACTCCTCCCAGCTCAGAGTTTTTGCCTCCGCAACCACATGGGCTGCAGCACGCTTGGCCCGCCGGTACCAGTCAGCTGCTTCAGGAGTCCCCCAAACCAGCAAGGCCCGATATGACTCCTTCTTCAGCTTGACAGCATCCCTTACTTCCGGTGTCCACCACCGGGTTCGGGGATTGCTGCCGCGACAGGCACCACAGACATTACACCCACAGCTCCGAGCAGCCGCATCGACAATAGAGGCCGAGAATGAAGCCCACTCGAGCTCCATATCTCCAGCCTCCCCCGGAATCCAGGAGAAGTCCTCCCGGAGGTGCGAGTTGAAGGTCCCTCTGACAGAGGGCTCCGCCAGACGTTCCCAACAGACCCTCACTACACACTTGGGCCTGCCAGGTCTTTCCGGCTTCCTCCTCCACCAGCGAACCCAACTCACAACCAGGTGGTGATCAGTTGACAGCTCAGCCCCTCTCTTCACCTGAGTGTCCAAGACAGGCGGCCGGAGGTCAGATGACACGACTACAAAGTCGATCATCGACCTCCGACCAAGGGTGTCCTGGTGCCACTTGCACTTATGGACACCCCTGTGCTCGAACATGCTGTTCATTATGGACAAACCATGACTAGCACAGAAGTCCAATAACAAAACACCGCTCGGGTTCAGATCAGGGAGACCATTCCTCCCAATCACCCCTCTCCAAGTGTCAATGTCGTTGCCCACGTGGGCGTTGAAGTCCCCCAGGAGAACAACGGAGTCCCCGGTCGGTGCACTGTCTAGTACCCCTCCCATGGACTCCAAGAAAGCCGAGTACTCAGCAGTGAGAGACCTGTCCCCGACTCGAAGGCGCAGGGACGCGACCCTCTCTTTCACCAGGGTGAACTCCAACACACAGTGGCTGAGCTGTGGGGCAATGAGCAGGCCCACACCAGCCCGCCGCCGCTCCCCACGGCCAACGCCAGAGAAATGGAGAGTCCAGTTCCTCTCAAGGAGTTGGGTTCCAGAGCCCAAACTGTGCGTGGAGGTGAGGCCGACTATATCTAGTCAGTAATGCTCAACCTCCCGCACAAGCTCAGGCTCCTTCCCCCCCAGCGAGGTGACATTCCATGTCCCCAGAGCTAGTCTCCATGTCCGGAGATCCGGTCGTCGAGGCCCCCGCCGTCGACTGCCGACCAGATCTCTCTGCACCGGCCCCATATGGCTCCTCCCGCGGGTGGTGGGCCCACGTGAGGACGGCCCCACGTCGCTCCTTCGGGCTGAGCCCGGCCAGGCCCCGTGGGGGAAGGCCCAGCCACCAGGCACTCGCTGGCGAGCACCCACCCCAGGCCTTGCTCCAGGGTGAGGCCCCGGTGACGCCAATCCAGGCAACGTAACTGGCCTCCGTGTGTGACTCATCATATGGGACTTCTGAACCTTTCTTCGTCTGACCCGTCCCCCCGGACCTGTTTGCCTTGGGTGACCCTACCAGGGGCATGAAGCACCCGACAACATAGCTCCCGGGATCATTCGGGCACTCAAACCCCTCCACCACGATAAGGTGACGGTTCAAGGAGGGGATTTGAAATATATCATATCAAATAGAAAGTGCACTGTATCAAGATATGTATCTTATCGTGGCCGATGTAGCGAGGTATGAATCGTACCAGCAACTTCTTAATGATACTCTGCCCTACCTCTGGAAATAGATAAGATTTAAAAAAAAAATTAAAAAAAAGTAAGGCAAATCCTCTTAACAACTTTTTCAAGAATTCTGTCTGTTTTTATGCTAATTATTTGGAATTTGATAGGCCTACCCCCCTACCCCCCTCCCCCAAACCTCCTTCCTTAAGCCAAAATGTCTAAATGTTTTTGTTTGTATTGTCTAAAATATCACCAATAAACATCACATTTCAGAAGTTGTCTATATTCTTCAGGTACTTACTTTGCTATTCCACTACAATAAACAAGCAGTGTTATTCTGTGTCTCTCACAGGGTACCATGCTCAAGGCTTACAGCAAAAATGTCACAGTATTCCTTCTGATCTCTGATGTTCAATAGGGATGGTCAGAGTATCCTCCAAGGCTATCTGTCATCGACAGATGTGCTGAATAAACTGTAATAAGTAACCGCACTTACTGATATCTTGTGAACCAAAAAACAAGGATTGAACTCTACATGTTTTCTACGTGTCTAAAGGTTCTGTCAGTGCTGCCATAAAGCACTATAATGCTATAATAAATAACATTCGTACTCTAAATATATTCTATGAAAAAAAACTGTGAAGTGGTGGGAGATTTGAAATGAGGCTAATCTTTATGGCTCACAGCTGCATCTGTAAACTGCAGACAGGATTCAAAAGACTTCCCTCTTCAGTCACATGGAGAAGGAAGCTTGTCCACAGACAGCACTAAAACATATGGGCTCATTTTCACATTATAAACAATGGAAGGATGACACTTATTGTAAAAGTCTTAACATGTACGTATTGTATATGAGAGGCTCACCTATGTAAAGTCTTTGATATGTTACAATTCCTGCAGTACAAATTATATGATCTTTACAACTGAATGGCTGAAAAACTGTCAGATCAAATGGATTCATGATTTAAAATGTTTTTATTTAGGTTTTTTTCAATATAAGGCATGTTTTGGTGGATTGCTATACCCCTGAAGTGTTTCCATTGGGCAAAAGAACACACCAGGGCTATCCTCTCCCCCCTTTTTATTTTGCAGGACATTTGTTTTGATGTAATATTATGGAGCTCAACAGTGACTGCCCACTCTGATTCGGGAATAAAATTTTACATTCACTTTTCACATAGAGAGTTCAAGGTATCATCAGCTACGTGCTAACTTGTATCCACTATGCAGTTGTTTTAAGCCCAAAAAGATTCAGTGAAATGCTTTAATAATTTAGTGATTTATGATGTTTTAGTAATACATTTTAAATTTAATAATAGGTCTCGTGGTCATTAGTTACCACATAGCTGATTAGCCTTGAGAAAGTTTTCAAACTTTTAATACAATTATTATTATTATTATTTTTTTTTTTGAAAGTCTATGGGGAAAATGAAAGAGAAATTTAGTAGCAGGTGAGAAGTTACTTTTGAACTCCATTACTAACATTGGGTGAAAAAATTGCAGCCGTTTATTAAAAATTTTGATTTTCCTCTAGGAAGTACACACTTTTTCTGTACAATCTACTCTTACTTCCTAGGAGGAGATTTTTAATATTAGATAATTGGAGCAATGTAAACTTTTAAACAGAAAATAATGCCTTACTGTCATCACATATAGCTCAGAGTTGTTAAGAGAATTAAAAGTTACTCAAAATTAACTCTTGTAAGCTTTGAAATATGTTATAATGCTGTTACCTCATCAAAAACATACCTGGAGTTATGTTTTGTTTCATTCACACCTCTGAGTAACCCTTTATTATTAGTCTTTCAAAAGCTCAAAATGCTCTGTTCCACCTTGTGATGTCAGGAAGAGCTAGTTTTCAGCCTCCTTTTACCTTTTTCTTCAGTAGATATTTCCAATACCAGAGCTGAAATTAAGGTCTATAGAGTTTAAAAACACAGTGGAGCACCTGTATTACCACATAACATCTCAAGTTTGATCAGAGCATTTTCTGTTTGCGAGAAGAACTTCGCCTAAGTATGCAGGATTTGTGTGTAAAACATGTGAATGAAACAAAACACAACTCCGTGTATGTTTTTGATGAGGAAACAACATTATAGCAGCTAGTGGTGTATGACAGAAAGAACATAACCTGTAAATCACAAACAAGAAGAACATGTGCTGATGGAGGAAATAGTGTTATTACTAAAAGATATGTTCTGTCATGTTCACAATGTTATATGTCATTATATCCTGTTCTTCCACTCAGCACAGAGACAGGCAGTTATGTTGTTTTTGACACTTACAAAAATCACTGTATGACAGTACTGCATTAGAGAAAGAGCTGAAGATTTTGAGATTTTCGTCATAGTAATCACAGGTTCAAAAATCTGTGACAATATATCATGAAATATTGGTAAAAGGGGAAACAGGATCTAGTGAAAAAGAACATGAAGTCTCAGTGGTTTGCTGAATGAAGACTTGAGTGATTTTACCCCTGAAGCTTGGTGAGGAGATTCTTGAATTACAACAGAACCACCAAAGTTAAACAGTTTTCTATCTGCAGACAGCGGCAGATGGTCCTCACCTTAAAATACACCGGCTCCACTTTGTGCTTGAGTGCGTGTGCTTTTCCGACCAAGGCCAGCACAGATGACACTTTCTCTGTATCGTGAAGGTTCTCCACCACCGTGTTGATGGCATTCATGACTCGGCGGGCATGCTGTCTCAGCTGAGTGCTCCTCTCCATCTCTTCAGGGTCCTGCATGTCCTGGAACTGACTGAAGTATTGTTTGGCGGAGGGGAAGTTTACAAAGAACCTGCAGGAGGCACAGAAATTCAGAAAAAAATATTGTGATCTGGGAGGCTGCAACCCCATTTCTGCCATATGCTTATCTAAAGTCATTCAGTCCACATTAGCCATTTCCATCAGTGAAAAGCTGTACTTCTCCCCCGGCTACTATAATAATCTGTAGGAAAGCGGTAATATGAAATGCAGACTCGCCTGGCCTCCTGTCAATCATCGTTCAGCCATGCAGATAACAGCGTTCAGTATTTTGTCTGAGCCAACTCATCTGAATTAAAGTTTCAAATGGCAGCTTTCGGCTTTTGAGTTTTAACCAGAGAAGTTTGAATGACAACCTCATGAAAAATGAAGTAGAAAAAATGCAGAAATAGAGGATCAGGTTACATTGATTAAAAATAAATTGCTGAAATTTATCACAATGATTTAATTACAGTGTTAATTAATGTGACGTATTACCCCGATTGTGTTTAGTCTGCATGGTCTGATTTTAACTCATTACAACTGACTGATTATAACACAAAGAAAATAATCTCCAGTAGACCAGTGTGAATTTGTAAAATTTTTACAGTATCATCTTTAAAAAAATTTATCCGAAACGTATGTGTTTAGATCAATATCCTTCTCTGACTCACTTCATGTCTTGACAGTGCTCCAACTGACTGCAAGAGCACAGTGATTTTCACAGCTGGAGATGTGCCTCAGGCCCATACAGCCCCCAAATGTAAGTCCTACACTCAGCTCACTGACTCTCATTGTAGGTGACAAGAATATTATGGACAATCTGAGGCTCTTGTTCTGCTTAGACAGACATGAACACACACTGCTGGGCTCCAGAAAACACTGCTCCAGCAACGTTTTCTTTGAAGGGAAGAACAGACCAGTTCTTTTAATTCCTGTCCTTTTTCGTTTGGCTTTTTATGTGCCTCTGGTAAGTGGAAATTCCTTTCACATTTCAAGAGTAGTATGCCTATGAAATACACGCTTTAGATCATGATATTGCATAATAATTGTTCTACATTATCCCATAGTAATAATAAGAATTAATAATTTCTTGATGGTGTTAACTTATAGCCACAGCTGACCCAGGGTGGACTGACTCAAGCAAGGCTGCCAATCTTCAATCTTCAACCATCTTCACTGCACAGATGCACTTTGAGCTGCAGCAAACCATGGACATTTGAATTGACAGCTATTGTTCTAACCACCGAGCTGTAACTTGTATGAGCTTTTTAATGGAAAACATTCAAAATAGCCATTTTGAACATTAAGGCATCATCATGTGCAGTGCTGGGTGATGTGCCCCTGTCAGGGAAATCTGAAAAATGTGGAGACATTAAGTCAAAGGGCTTTTTGTTGATGACAGTAGACCGATACAGCCACAGTTTTATTTAGAATACACTCATGAAGGTTCAGTTTTATGTGTTACGGCTGTGTTCATCTGAAGGCACTGACAAACCCAGAGCCTCTGTGTGAGATGAGAATAGATATTTGGTACTTAAAGAAGCCAGAACTGATTCTGGCACCTGCCCGTGCATTTAAATGAGGTCATCAAAGCTCAGCAGCCACATTAGTGTGTGTGTTAATCGCACAATGAAACCAGAGGGAAGCGTCAGGTTCGACCTGCACAGCTAAATCATAGTCTGACACCAAGGCCCTATTTAAGCATTTTACAGTCTATTAGATTTGAAGGCCAGAACTGTGACAGCAAAGAAAAGATATTTAAGGCCAAAAAACAGCAGAAGTAACATTTAGTTAGTTGTGAGATAAAGCATGGGTGTTGAGAGCATTTTCCTTTAAAATTATTCGTCTTGCATGTACCCATTAGTGGTTAATAGAGACAGAAGAATAAGAGTGTGCAGTTCAGGACTGTATCCACATAGCTGCCATATGCACCACTCTGTTAGTGCCCCGGGAGATGCCGCTCTCTTTGGTGCAATTGCATTTGTACGCATTGGTGAGATCAACTGGGGCTATTGTCACTGTCTATTCTTGCAATGCACCCAAGCAGATGGATCGACATAAAAATGCAAATCCTTGTTATAGTTGAAAGATGCTCTGATTTTAGAGTTTGAGGCTTGTCCTTCATTTACAAGTGTGGATCTATGTATTTTTAAATGATCATAACTTAAATTTTTTTTTTTTATTGCTTTCTTAACATGTACAAGGAAACCATCACAGTGATCAACCAGATATATTGAATCAAAAAGGTATATGATAAAAGGAAAGATCTATGTACAAAATGGAAAAAAGCGTCATATCAGACAAAATTTAGTCCTGGGCCCCATGCTCTATCATCTTTTAGTTCAAGGACATATTTTCCATTAGGAACACAGTGAGTATTATTGACAGCGATATACATTTTCTTTATCATGTTATTTTCACTAATCAATACTATCAATACTGTGTATTCTGTGGCACTATATTTCTTACTCATTTGTTGTCAATAAGCCCTGATGATGTATCAGCTGTCTCCCCTGCATTACAGCTTAACTGGTAAGTCATCATAAGAAAAGTTTATGGCACTTTTGTCATCCTGGCTATAGTAACAATGCTAAAAACATTTTTTGAAAGAAAGTGATGCCCAGTTACAATATATTATGAACACTGCTCCACGTAAACACTGCTATGTACGGTGTCTGTTTTAGCTCTTTGTTTTTTGCACATGTTTAACGCACAAATCCTGCATATTTAGGTTGAGTTCTCTGATTTGAATCTCTGAACTGAAGGTAAAGAATAGCTGTTAACTCTAAAACTACTGCTTCCTTACATCACACGTTGCAATAGAGCATTTTGAGCTTTGGAGATGTAGACAGACTAAAAATAAAGGATTATTCAAACATTTGTGAATGAAACAAAACACAACTCCAGGTATGTTTTCGATGAGGTAACAGCATTATAACATGACTTAAAGTGTAACATAGGACCTTTAAAAATATCAGGCCCTTATTTTCCTAACATGCCACTTCGCCTCTTATATCATAAACATTTAGCTATAGCACTGGAGCCTGGCATCACTGATTTCCCATGAGCCCTTCCTTATAAGTGACAGAATGAAGACATGAGGAAGAATGTCATGTTTTCATCAAAGGAGGAAAAAATGAGGCAAATTACAGAGAGTAAAAGAGGAGAGGAGTCGACTGTTATCAGGCTTTATGAGGGAGATGTCAAAGTGCCAAATCTTGTTGCTGTCAGCCTCAGATAAGAAACCATGAGACATATTCACAGTGGTTCTGCCCCTTTCCTCTTTCCTGGGGGGATTCCTGTCACCCCCCAAAACTGGAAATCCTTTCGCTTCACTCTCATCGGTCGCCTTGACGACCACATGTGGCCTGTTTCATCCAACCCTCTCAGGTTTTTCTGCCTGTAGCACCAAGGTTACAGGGGGACACTTAATTCTATATATGGCACTGAAGTTACAAGAGCGGGTGTGGAAAAGGCTGTTAACCAACATAGCTGTATGATTTTTATTTTTGTTTTGAATGTAACCAAATTTAAAGGTGCACTTAAAGGTGTACTTTTTGACAGAGGGTTCGACACTTGTTTGTTTCTATGGATACATCAGTACAAACGGCTCTACCTACATTTATTGAATTACAGGTGGTATTGTAGCTCAAAAATATCTAGAAAAACAGGCATTCTGACTAAGGGGGTTGCCTCTGCATAGATCTGATCTGTAACTTGGTCTGGTTTGGTCGCCATGACAATAGAGTTGGTTTAATGCCATACTGTAAAAGCATTTACAGACCCTCCACCACAAAAGTTGCACAATGCACCTTTAAATAAATACATGTATATTTAGAAAGTTTGTAAAATTTTCACACTATAGGATCAACTACACTTCCTAAAAGAAGGGCTGAACTCATCATTTTGTCTCAGTTTCACTAACTTTAAAGGTGCATCGTGTAACTTTCCTGGTGGAGAGTCAGTCCAATGTATGTCTTCAAGGAAATGTCATTGTTTTTTGGGAATGTTTCACAGTATGGCATTAAACCTTTCTATTATTAATGAGACCAAATCAGACCAAGTTACAGGTCAGATCCGTGGAGAAGCAACCCCACTCACAGTCAAAATGCCTGTTTTTATATGGATTTTCTTTTTTTTTTTATTTTTTTTATTTTTTTTTTTTTTTCCAGTAAAACCACTAGTAATTTATTAAAAGCATCATAGAGCTGTTTAATGTCATACTCTGGAACATTCCAAGGAGAGCAGTGAAATATCCCTAGAAACAAGCAGGTGATGGGCCCCTGACCAAAAAGTTACACAGTGCAGCTTTGATGATGATCATTTTTGACAATCTACCTTTCTTCGAAAATAAGAGCAATGGTTTTATATTTCAAGAAGCGCAAGTAAAATTTCTGAAACGAATCCTGCTGCGGGATAGAGAAGCTGTTACAATACCATTTGGTGTTAAGTTTGATCCATTCGACAAGCCACAATAACCACATCAAAACAAAGTGCCTACACATAAACATGTAAATGTACAAAGCAGCTGTATAGAGCTACATGCATTTCAGAGTTAAGCATGGAGAATTAATTCCACCAACATACAGCAGTGACAATGGTGTGAAAAAGAGGATTTATAAAGGCTTTCTCAGTGGAGGGGTATGCACTGTTCCCTCCTGGTTTTGGTGAAAGATGCTCCTAATGATGTGTGCACTTGCTATCTGAAGCTTAAAGGGCTTGTATTATGCTATTTTCCTCATCACATATACACCTGGAATTGTGTTTTATTTCATTCACACATGTTTAATGCAAACACTGCATATTTAGGCTGAGTTCTCTCAAAACAGAAAAAAACTGTTGCACCTTGTGATGTCATATGGTAATACAGGAGGTCCTCCACTGTGTTTTTAAACTCCATACACCTTCATTAGAATCACTGATCATTTCAATTGCCAGTCTGTACTGAACAAAAAAAAAAGGTGTTAACTTGAAAACCACTATAAGAAATCACAAGGAGGAACAGAGATGCAGACAGACTAATAATAAAGGGTTACTAAAACATGTGAGGATGAAACAAAACATGACTCCAGGTATGTTTTTGATAAGGTAACAACATCCTAACATGGCTTGAAGCTCACAAGAGTTAATTTGACCAAGGGCCTTTAAGGAAGACATGGTTTCATCACAGTAATAGGCAATAATAATAGGTTATGTCAAAACAACAAGTCAGCCTAATAAATACAAAATAGCATGACAAAGTCAAACTGACCACATGGCAACAAGATAATGCTGAATGCTGAATGTGATTGCCAGCCTGCAGGACACAGGGGACACTTTTGTCCTGAGAGTGGCTACTTTGTGGGATCTGCAGACTTAACCTGGTAAGTCCCTCTTGTAAGCGCTGCTGCTTGAGACCTTCGTTTGAGCTAATCTATTTTGTTGTATTTAACACTTGGCGTGCTTGAATTACCCCTCTGGGACAGATAAAGTCATACTGATTGATTGGTTAATTGACTGACTCTTGGTTAAAGGCTGTAGAACAGTTGTGTCCAAACTTTTTTCACAGAAGGAAACATACTGAAGCATATTTCAAGAAGAAGGCCACAGACTGGTGGTCAGTACAGCGGATCATTCATGAATGCATTTTGCATAGTTTGACAGAACCACTCTATTTTTAATTAGATTTTTGGGATATTAATTTTACGTTTACATCACAGTGCAATGTGAGGTCATTGAGGTAATGGTCTAGAATTCCTGAAATGTGCTGTTAAACTGAATGGCTATGATCAGTCGGGCCATTTCAAGCCTGAGTGCCAATAAAAGTTGGTCTGAGGGCATTTGACTTCTGGGCCAGTTTGAAAACCCTTGTTAGAAGACTATTTGAAAAAAACTCTTGGTTGATTTGACCTGTGTAAAAGCTTATTGAATTATATTTTGTTATTTGTGTTTCATAACATAAAACAAAATTTAGCAAAGCAGCCAAAATGATAAATTGCTCATATTACAAAAGTAAAGTGGTTAATTAATTGAGAATCAGGTTAAAAAAAACAACAACAAAAACAAAAAAAACACTCATCTTATAGATGAACATGAACTTTTCCAGTGTTTAAAGCCTTCCTAAGTACAACCTCTATATAAACTGATGTGAAATATACATCTATAGTTTTTGTTGCTGTCACTCACCTGATCAGCACAGACACGCCCACGTCCTCGCAGTTTTTGTAAACCAAACCCCACGTGCCCTGGATGATCTCTGTCTCTGCGTCTGACAGCGGCTCAGCTCTCTCAGGGCGGTCCTCGTCCCCACGGTCCGTGACGAGCACGTTGTCTCCACGGATGAGCTGCGGAGGTGGCGGAGGGGAGGGTGGCGGAGGGGGGGACTCCCTGCGAGACATCCTCCTGCGGCGCAGCAGCCCGGAGGCTCCCAGCAGCGCTCGGGGCAGGTAGGGCGCAAGGGAGGGGGGAAGGGACACGGACAGCTGAGACCCCACGGCGGGAGCGGGTGAGGGAAGCCTCGAGAGAAAAAAGATACAGGGGTGACCAGGAGACTGTGGGGCGCGCGTAAAAGAGGCACTCGCTGTGCGTAAAAGCACAGGTTCAAATAGAGATCCTCCGGTGCGCTCTGATCAATTCATGAAAAACTTGAGTAGTTGTCTGCCCCCTCTTCCCGGCCCCAGTAAAGGTGCAGCTTCGTTCAATGCTGAGACAAGTAGGAATGAGACGAGGACCTGCGGAGGAGAGGGTGCTGCAACAAGACAGAGATGTGGGAGAGAGTGGGAGAGTTAGGGTCTACACGCCCTCTCTCTCTCTCTCTCTCTCTCTCTCTCTCTCTCTCTCTCTCTCTCTCACACACACACACACACACACGCGCGCACACGCACACACACACGCATACACATTCTTTTGTGCAGTTTAAAATATGTTATTTTAGGCTGTATAAGAAATATTTCGTTGGGACATGGGCCACACTAAAGCACATTGGGTCTATTAGAGGCAAAGGCCATGATTTATAATTCTTTTTTACTACGAATGTGTAAATGTTTTATATATATATATATATATATATATATATATATATATATATATATATATATATATATATATATATATATATATATATATATATATATATATATATATATATATATATTTTTTTTTTTCCCCACTAAATTTGATTATTACATATCTGCTTCATGTATTCTCATAGTAACACAGAATGTTTATTATTGTATCTTCACAAGAAGTGTCTGGTGTGTTTATTTATTTATGAAAGATAGAACAGTTTGGACTCAGAAAATGATGGCCTTGATGAGACATTTACAGCCTGTAACAAAATAGTTACACTGTTAGTTTGAGTGTCTCCCCCATAGAAACCAGAGTTGTTTCTTAGCTCTATTAAAGACTCTTCCATATTTGGAGTTTTGTTAACATTTTAATCCAATAAATCTATTAGGCTGTGTGCTTATTGTGTTAAGTCCAAATATATTAAATGCATAGCGGTAAATTGTAACTGAATCAAAAACAGATGCTGTTATGCTCAGCGACTGTAGGTCTGGACACAGGGATGTTGTATTGACTTGTTGCTCTGATTGTATTTTCTGCCAGCCCCTGGGGAAGATTACTGCCCTGCTCTCCACATAAACCTGGGTGGCTCTCCTAGTCTGAGAGCTATAATAACCATCATGATAAGGTGCTATTGCCAAGTTATATCTCTTTATATGTCACCCGGGTTTGCACTATGTACCTCGCTTCAGTGGTGATGGGTGTAGATCCCCAGAGCAAAATGTGTGATAGAAAGATTGAGAAATTGTGACAGTTATCACCATCAATGTAGGTCTATTAAAAAAAAAAAAAAAAAAAAAAAAAAGAAGAAGAAGGATCCAGTAGGGCAACAAAAGCACTTTCATTAGCTAACTCTTGGGACAAAGTCAACTATGTTAAATTGACAGTTTTCAGTGAGATCACTCTGGGGGTTTTCTACATGTATCTGAATGGTGGAATCCTCAGTTGCCATGGAGATGCACTGCAAACATTAGCAAACACAGGCAAAACAGTTTTAGATGGTCTGAAAACTCAAGCAAAAACTTAAACAGCTAATTTTCAAGAGTCTGTGACCAATACGAGCATTCATGGTCCTGTTTGATTTTCAGAGTTTGATTTTCAACAAAAAAGGTGAAAGTGACTAACTGAAAAACTGTAACTGACTGTAATATTGTCTGAGAGGGAACAGGACACATCATCTCACCTGCTGAAGTTCCAGCTAAAACAATTCATTTTGGTCAGATTGTGTTAAAATAAGATGTTTGATAAGAGTAGAAGGCACAGGAGGGTCAGGTCTGATGGTCTGCCCACCCATGCAATTATACTGAGATGCTGATCTGTCAACAGGATCACCAAAAATGTTCTGTACCTCAAAAGACCTGAAAAGCTATCAAAGGCATCTTTGTTTAACATGAACTATAAACATCCAATTAGTGTCTAATAATAATGACAATATAATAATGATGTATTTTTTCAATGTAGCCTTTTATTTAAATGTTTATTTGATTATTAATAGCCCTTAATTTAGATTGAGTACACTCTATTATCTAAAGATTTGACAGTGGAGTCATGGACTGAGTGTGGCAATGTTGTTAAAGCTTAGACTCTGTTGCCCTCTACTGTTTGTATCGAGCACGGCAGCATACAGCACCAATTTCAGCTCAAGACCTATTTTTGCCTTATTGTAGTCCTACTTTCTTTTTTTTTTTCTTTTTTTAACCTCTTGATCTTTTTGCTGTACTACTAGTACTACTACACTTAACCTGGTATTTACTCCTGTATCCTACAGTAAACTTAGGGCTGTCGTGCTCAAAGTTTAAGTACAAAAGCTTTCCGAAACGTGTCCAGTTTTGCGTATTTGGTGCACTCCTCATCCACTTGTTCGGACACACTCCATGTGAATCTCTACAGCTTGGTTCTTTTAATAATAATTAAATGTAAGCTACTACCATAAAACCACATAAAACCATCAGTTCATCTTATTTAAATGATATTAGATGAGATGCTAAAACATTTTGTATCAATTAAACGTGAATCCAGTACTAGATGGTGACAGGTGTTGCTTGTTTGTGCAGCAGTAGCCTACGATCAAAGTTTTGGGATGGAAATAAAATTCAACCAATCGCGGTTCGGCCGTAGACTTTCACAGCCAATCCTAACACCGGGATCGTGTGTGGGCGTCGCCCAATACAGCGCGTCTGTGGCGGGCGGCGGAGCATCCATCCTCCGCGGCCCGGGCGGCGAGAGTTCGGTTGAGAGGGTGCTGATGGCGGGGGAGTACCACTGATGAGAGAGCGGGCCACAGGACACATTATTTGAGCACAGATTGGGGGAATATTACTTCAATCTTCTGGGTACTAATACATTGTGGGACAGTTGTTCTTTCATCGCTGCGTGTGGTGAGTCGGACAGAAAAGCCCGAGTGTCTTTTCAATGGAGGATGCGGGTTAGCCGCACTTATGTTAGCTAGCGGATTATTGTGCCATGACTTTTCAATGATGGAGGACCGGGGGCGAGAGCTAATGTTAGCCTGCTGGCACCACAAAACTTGTGCCTCTTAGTATTTCAGTTTTATTACTAGGTTTGTATTAGATTTTTGGACATCTTTATTGTAGGACTAGCGCTCATGGCGTGGTCATTGTCCGCTTGCTTTTATCCTCATATCCAGACGTCTTTTGAACCATCCACACCCATGATGGGCTGGGGAGACTGTCTATTTCAATTTAAACTTATTTACCACTTATAAAACGTACAGTAGTATGAGATATCTCGCCTTTATATTTTCCAAGACACAAAAGGACTAATTAAAATCTGTGTTTGGGTTTAGCTTCCTAATCCGTGTTATCGTCCTTGTGGCATCTTTTTCAGCGGGTGGGATAGACAGTTTAGCACGCCAACTTTGAGCTAAGGCTAACAGGCTAACATATCCTTGCAGTAGATTAGAGGGTTTTATTGTATACATCAAATACCATAAAATCACAATATGCTGGAAAATGCTCCCACTTTTATTGTCGATAAGCCGCGTTTCCCAAGGTCTTACTCAACAAACTTATCAGAACCACAACTGTAACAAAGGCCACTAAACGTGCTCTATTACTGTGTGGTTTATGTGTAAAATATTCACTGGAAAAGGTTGTTATTGTCGATATTAGACAACCACACGCCCCCGCGAGCGATGGTGTTGAGCTGCCAAAGGGTGACAAGGCAGCCAGCAGCCGCTCTTATCCCCCATCCCGTGACCTGACCCACATTTGTGCCTAACCAGAGTCTGATTTAAGCATGTGGCAATTGTAGGTTAAATGTCTGGGAGCCATAACCACTATATTTGTGGTTGTTTCACATTCACAAGAGCCATGCTTGAGTGGAGGTCTATGCGAAGTAGGGAACAATACAGCTGTTAGTACATGTTTTATAAAGTTTCAGATACAAACTGTTATGGCTGTGTGAAGTGTGTCTGATTATGATGCTATTGCACATAGTAGTGAAAAGTAGTGATATATTTATGGACTCTGTTAAAATGATACAGCATTTCAGCATTCAATTAACACTTGAAGACTGATCTGAAGATTTTTGTTAATTCATTGCGCTTAATTGAAAGAAGGGAGAATGTTTTTCTTGTGTGCTTTTTGTACAATTTTAATTTACTATCTAGAGCTTAAAACAAGAAACAAAGAATCTTATGCTGTCCACCCACATACTGTACATAGCAGAAGCAAAGATGTTATCCCTGAACCACTGAATATATTGTCATTGTCAGTTATTTGTTATTTGATATAAAATTTTTATGAGTATAATCTAATATTGAATCATGGAGCACAGTGGGATACATTTAAGAAAGCAGCATAATATTATAATCATTTTTGCAGACATTATTTTTGTTTTAATAAGAATTATAAAAATAATCAGAACTGCAGTATCTATTTATAATTTGTGAAACAAAAATATTGTTAGACACCAGGTATTCATGCTTTATTAATGCTTGTGGGAAGTTACTGAACAGTATTATCATTATCATTGTTGTAACACCCCTGTTTTGATTTCAGGTGCCATCTGGTGTAGTGGCTGAGTTTTCCAGCAGTAATGTCACAGAGAAGTGGGCAGGAGGACCCGGAGCGGTACCTGTTTGTGGACCGTGCCGTGGTCTACAACCCAACAGCTCAGGCCGACTGGACGGCCAAGAGGCTGGTGTGGATCCCTTCAGAGAGGCATGGATTTGAGGCAGCCAGCGTCCGGGAGGAGAGAGGAGATGAGGTGGTGGTGGAGCTGGCGGAAAATGGGAAGAAGGCGATTGTCAACAAGGATGACATTCAAAAGATGAATCCTCCAAAGTTTAGTAAAGTGGAGGACATGGCCGAGCTGACCTGTCTGAACGAGGCATCAGTGCTGCACAACCTCAAAGATCGCTACTACTCTGGACTCATCTATGTAAGTCTTTATAACCAGAATTTATTACTATATTTATAACGTTATAAAAAATAAAACATATTTATACTAGTAACCACTAATGCAATGACAGAACAAATTAGATTCCATCTTACATATACTTGTTGTTTCCTTGGACCAGATGCATTTCCTGCACTTTAAATCTGTAAACATGCAGTTCTCCCAATAAACATACAATACCCTGTTATTATATCATAATAAGCAAAATGCATCCATGGAATAGCGCAGATTGAAATAAATGTCATCTCCAGTCTTTCCTATATTATTGTGGTGTGTGGGTGAGTGGATGCATGCTGGTGGGGTGTGTTATTTCTGCATTGTGAGGGGTTAAACGGCTTTGAAAATGAAGAACTGAGTCATGAAATGGACATTCAATGATGAGGTCATTGATCTATCCTGTGTGCATCACTCCCTCATTCAGCAGCGCAGCAGATGCTTTTAAACTGGAAAAACAAATGATATATTTTACTTTCTAAAAGGTTTCCATTTAAAGTACAGTTTTATGTCCTCCTGTGTGTGTTTGGTGGAACAAGGTGCAGCCCAATAAGCCTAACCATGTAGTCACTGCACACTGTGGCCTCCAGCCAAGAGATCACTCGTTGATTCGTACCTCTTAAAAGCAGATGTTGTTTCTCACTACAATAGTCCAGTGCAAATCTTGAAAAGAAAAAAGGAAAGTTTGCTACTTACTTTTCATACTGTTGCATAACCGTGTGCCTTTAGTGCGATGGTAGCAGTTGCACTCCTACACAGTGCAAATAATAGCTCCCCTCACTGTTCACTTCAGTTGAGCTTTCGTTTGGAGCCAGTGCTGAGTCACTGTAATGAAGCTGTGTTCTTATCGCCATCATTTACATTTTATAAAACTACTCTTATCTTGTACAAAGGAGTCATTCTTATAAAAATGTTTAGAAAAATCATATTGTAAAGTTCACAGTTACCACAGCTTAGTTACCACAGCTTTTGCTTTGGTATTCTAAATTGAGACTTTGTGCATCATTTTTATTGGCACTATGTGAATTGACACTGCACAGGAAGTTGAACAAGAGGTCTACTATAACTTGCAGAGTAGTGCTTGTGATGTCTTTCTTGAGAAAGAAAGCATGTAGTTTATAGTTAAGTTTCCAGAGATCAGTCTTATGGAGTTCTAACAGTTTTAGGTGATCTACATGATCCTGATGTTTACCTCTGTAGTTTGTATGTAAATAAATTCCTATTCCTAATATGGACCTGGCTCTGAATTCGCTCCTATAATTGCTAGCCTCGTGAGCTTCACTTGACTGTAGCTGAACGCTGTGAGTGACGTCACACTCCTTAGTCCACTTCTTAGTCCACTTAGTCTATAGTTCAAACATTTTTAAATTACCTTCTTGAAAATAAATAAATCATTAATTTGATTTCGCCCCGAAGCTACTACCCTGTGCTTAGCTAATGAACAAGGAGCTTTCAGTGGTTTGAACATGTACACTGAAGTCTACGTGTCAGCTGCTTCAGCATTCCTGACTCTGCAAGTTTTCACATCCAGCCAAGAGGTCAAGCCAATACAATGTAGTGCTGACATAACTTCACATGTCCATCTTTGAATCTTGGCTCTTTATATAGATTTTGTAATACCACTGAATTGAAGAAGGGAAGACTTGGTTATCACACTCAAGAGTTATTAGCACTTACACAAACTTAACTGGTCCATGATGAATATAAAAGCTTGGACACAGTGCAGCTCAGTAATCAAATAAGAAACATCATTAAAAACACCAGAAATAATAATAATAAAATATAAATAAATGAAATAAGTAAAGTTATAGTGACCGTAACCATGTCAATCTAATCTAACCTGATGGGTCAGTCCATAGAATAATAGTAGCAGTAATGGCAATGCAGCGTATTATGAAACACAGGTCAAATGCAAATCTCTTTGTTGTTAATGTGACTACTGCACCATGGACTTTAGCTCAGGGCTGTATGTCTGAGCTAAGGTTAGTTGTTTTGGTGTGTGGATATTAGTGCAATATCATATAATTCAAATACAGTACATATTTTTTTTTTATTTTGGCATGTAATCCTCTTTAACATTTGTAATTCATTTGTTACTGACGAACAAATTAAACAACAAAATTAGACCACTTGCGTTTTCTCCAAATTCAGCTTTAAATTTGAACAGATCAGTAAGTTGAGAGCTGTGTATGTTTTCATGAATGAGAATATAACATGATCTCAATTAATAAACTATAATGAGTAGATAAATTTGTTCTTGTCAAGGTTTCTGTGTTATTCCAACTTAGCTATTTTCTATTAACAGTTTTCTGTATTGTGCTTTTATGCACCAGGGATTCCTCCAATTAAATCTTGAGGCTTTGAGTAGTCCCAGAATTAGCTGACATTCCATTTTGTTTAAGACCTTAATTTCCCTCACCTTTTAACTTCACTTAAAGTCTTCTTTTGTTGTATGTAGCAGCAGCCTTTCTACAGATGGTGTCATTTATTTAAAAATTAGGTTGGCTCCCTCTAGGACACTGTTATGTTTGTCATTTCCAATGTCAGATTAAGAACATGCCAAGATTAAGCAAAAACTTCCCTCATAACAACTGTCAAGAAGAAAGTGTTGGCCTTTTTATGAGGGAGTTAACTTTAGTGTCAAGAAAGCTAGAAAAGAGAGAAAGAATTGGATCAAATCTTGCTCATTTTTTGGGACACTTAAGTTCCTGTGTTTACATCAGATTTATTGTAGCAAGTTATTACAAGTTTCTCTAGACTTGCTAATGCTAATTCCTGAAAGCTCAAGTCAGTTAACCCGCTCAAAATAATCTACATCGGCACGTAAAGAGTCACACAGTTCACTTCCAGCCGTGTACTTAATTAAATTGAGACAGAGGGGAAAAAATATGATAGATTCCACTTTCCAGACACTCTAACCTAAGTGCCTGTTATGAAGGAGTGTAGAACAGGCTCTCCAATAATCCTTGAAATACCCCCTAGGGTGCTCTGACGGGGCTGAGTCATGTGTGGGCCAATGCTGCCGTCCTGCTGTGAGGGGCACTGATCTGTCTGCCTGGCCCCGTGCCACAGCAGGGCATCAGAGCAACCGTGAGGGTCCGGGAGCGTGCCCTAAATGTAAAGACAACAAAAACAATAAGCAAAACAGTGCTGTAAACATAGTGTGATTGTGAATAGAGTAAAACTGGCATGTAATGTTTATGTTTAAGATCGAATGAGAAGAAATAGGGATGCACTTACATGGGCTTTTTTAGCCAATATTTCTGACTATATGACTGTTGTAGTTGATAATTGATATTAATTAGAAAATCTTTGGCAAAGCTCCAAAAATGTTAAGATGTTATAAAGTTCACAAATGATTTTATTGATGTAAATTTTACCTTTCTAGTCTTTTTTACACAGACCCATCTGATGGGTGATGATCACAAATTAGCACAAAAATATAATTTTTTTTTCAATTTTCGACAATAACAATACAAAAGAATAACAATGAACAAAGTCAATATCTTCCAAAACTTGGGAAATACTATATATAAGCAAAGTAGTTATTTTGTGTGTGCACAGACATATTGCTAAAAATGTCTGGGCATGTTTGTACAGGGCAGTTGTTCTCTTGGCATTGTCACACACAATAGAGTGGACCTGTCACTATTATTCCTGCTAAATCTCAGGGGTCAATGCTTTTGCTGCTGTCTGGGGCCCTGCGGTACAAACCACTAACACACAAACAAGTTAGGCTTAATTTATTTAAAATATTCTGTAGATTTGTAACTTTTGATCCGTCCAGTCAATGATACACGAGAGGAAGTGTGTTAATCTAGTGGTCTATTGTGTTTGATGGGCAGACATGTCCAGGATTAGCCTTGTCCCACCTCGCTCTGCATTTTACAGTCTATAGGCCCCATACAGGCCACGGATTAAAGTGATTTCCCCCTCTGTATTCTATAGTTGTTGTATTAAAATGGGAAATCAAACTAAAATAAAAAAATGTGCCTTTTTATTTTTAGAAATGTGAACTATACTACTGCTTTATGATATATTGTGTAATTTGTTTTCATTTTAATCTCATATGTAAGTGTATTCTAACTGTATTTCTCCGCAGACATACTCTGGCCTCTTCTGTGTGGTCATAAATCCCTACAAAAACCTGCCCATTTACTCAGAGAACATCATAGAGATGTACAGGGGCAAAAAGAGGCACGAGATGCCCCCTCACATCTACGCCATCTCAGAGTCTGCGTACAGGTGCATGCTGCAAGGTAAGTCTGTTTCTCACACTGCGTGATTATAGTTGATGTAGTTAAAGTGCATTTGATCCGATTTCTAATAAAAGTAATGCATTATAAGTTAGTAAAGGCAGCTATATTTCATATTCCTGGAAACAATCAATACCTTTTAGAAAGTGCTTTTCTATTTTAAAATCATAATGCTTTTGTTGGAAAGTTATTCTTGGATTGTCAATACCGTTAATAAAATTTACACTGGTAGTGGAGTTAAGGATGGCTCCCCATCCTTAAGGGTCAGACAGGGGTTATTCAGCACATTTTATGGGTTTGGTAGTTATTAAGTATTTATTAAAGTATTGATTTCATATTTGTGGACATGAGCTGAGGTAATCATGTCTGGTGGGCCTAAGCATTATCATTAAAAATGATCTAAATAAAGATAAAATTAAAAACACCCCTTTGAAAGGCCTTAAAGTGCCCAGGGCAGGTTAGACTACTCATTTTACTGAAACACCGTTAAGGTCAGAATTTTAAAACAACAACAACAACAACAACAAAACAGTTAAGGTTTAGGTTTTAAATGTTACTTTTTGGTTGAATGACAGCACACTAGGGAATTTCATACCTGCAACTATGATGTGCACTGGGCCAAAATTCCTTTAAGGTACACAGAAATGAATATTTGACAAATAAAAATATAAGAAAACACTTTTATTTTGTTGACATAATGTTTAAAGTATCTGAAAAAATGTGTTTCTTTTGTAAATTGTGCCAAACATTTGAACATAATTCTCCTTAATGTAACTTAATAAATATGGAATTCTCTTAAATATAACTCTCTACTTATTGTAATTACATATAAATAACGATATTTTAAAACTTTTCTTCACGAATTGCTTCTTGATTAGTGCAAAACTATAATATATATTTACAAAAGGTGCTATTCCATCAACGCATTTTAAACTATCCTCTAGTAGACATGGCACAATATAGAAATGTACTGTCACCATTATCTTTATCATTATCTTTGTTGGCGATTATCATGATTATATAAAATGTCCCACAAACGATTATTTAGCCTTTTTATCACGATAAATTATATTATTGTCTATTATCCCATCCCTGTTCCCTAGTAGCATGGATCCAGCTCTACAGTATATTCAGCCTTCAAAGAGCTGTGCCTGATAGTTTCCGAATTTCCTGCTCTGAGCTGTGACTGGGATCAGACCAGCGAGAACAGAGAGGGTGACCCCATTGTGAGCCACAAAAGCCCCTTTGTGCAGCGCTGAGGGCCGCTCATGGGGGTGGTGAGTGACACACTGGACTGTCCCATCAGCCCTTGCTCTCTGCGTGCTGATACACACAAGGATGTTTGGGTTGATTCAGTGTCAAAACGGCGCCTTCTTTCCCCCATGTCCACTGTGAATGTAACCCCCTACGTATGTATGAATCACATGGCAGCATTCCTGTAGATTTATCGTTTGTAAGGGGGTCAGCTTTTTGGTCAGGTCTTTTATGTTGAGTTGTTACGGTAACTACTATACCGACCTAAAGCTCAATGTATGATCGATGGAAACAATATTTTTTGGCGTCAGTATTTATTGTGTGTACACTTTCTTTGCATTACTATTACTGGTAAATTCTTATTATTTTTTGGCTATATGATAAGATTTAAGCCATAAATAGTTGAATTAATAACTTCTATGACTCATTACAGATGCAAACTAAGTGTAAATTGTTTCATTCAGCTGTTTATTTATTGCAGCTTGTGATTTTTTTTAACAATATTGTAGATTTAGAATAGTTTTTGTGGTTTAAATCTGCTCTTGGGTTATTGTGTCAGTGACATGAATTTGTTTCGATATTATCATTTATCGTCTATAATTTCTTCAACAATATATTGTGCTTTAAAATTTGTTATTGGGATAAGCCAAGTTGTCAGTTTTTTACAGCTTGAATATGTTCTTCTGCACCACTAGGCTAACCTGTTCTCAGTTGTGATCAGAATTAACTGTGTTGTGGATGAAAAGGAGGTTTGTAGGTTGCAGATTAGTGGAGGCCAGATGCTGTTCAGCTGTGGCCCTGAGCTTTACACCCTAGTTAATATTAGTGATATTCTGCTCTGGGTGGATTAGTATTTCTTAGAGATGTGCAAAAGTATTAATATATCGTGATACTAAATTTTGTTATCGTGGGTTTCTGTATCGATATGTCGCCAAGGGTATTTTTTGAAAGAAAATAAAATAAGAAAAATATTAACACCAAGAAATATCGTTCCAGCTTTCACATATCGAACGATAAGTTGATAAAGTAATTATTGTAACAGGCCTAACTGGAATTTATTTGTTACTGTCCATTTTTGCTTTCTACTTGGCTCCTTATTGCATGATTTGGTTAATATAATAAAATATCTTGCCATATTTTGAGTCTAAGTAGTTGCCAGTTTGAACCATAGAACCAACTGGCTCTGAGCAGTAGACTGTCAAATCATATTTACAGCGAGAGGATGCCTGGACCTCTGGGGTGAGTGCTAATTGCCTCTGCAGTTCTGTGAAGTTGGGGCCAGCCTCAAATCGGAGCAGTGTGCTACTACAAAGGCACGACCAGATCACTGCATCTGTCATTGATTACTATGTTAAGTAGATACGCTTTAAAAATAATAACAAAGTCTACATCTTAACGTCTCTTCAACACTGGTTCAAAATGGACTAGGGTTGTTAAAGGTACTGAAAATCTACCCATAGATACTCATTTGAACAAGTATCTATTCTAAAAAAGAGCCTTTAGAATGAACTTGAGCTTTATCAGAACAAGTATAAGAGCACATAGACTAGTGTACACCCATGGACTACTATGGAACATACCTGGACGACTGAGGGATTACATGAATATAAGGCCACATGGAAATATAAAAGAAAGTACAATGATTTAATGTAAAAAAAAAAAATCACATTCTACTATCCAAATAAAGAGTGTTTTTTTTAGTTATCATTGTTGTTTCGGAATCAGTATTCAGTATCAAGCCAACTCCTACTAGTACTGAAATTGATAAATGTTTTCAAACTAAAATTGACTAGAAATCCTCCTTGGATTTTCTCAACAGTTCCGATCGCATTTCCTGACACAGTTGTGAAATAGGGAGTCTTTGTTTTCCCCGAAAAAGTAGAAGGATTCCCCTCTTTAGCGACCCCTGTGTGTTTATGCAGGCCACCGGGTCAAACTGGCTCAATCCATCGCTGCATAGTGAGGATTTCCACAGAGCAGTACAGCTGTTTGATTTCACAATAGGAATTCCACTGGTATAAAAAAGGAGTAAAAATAGGTTTCAACTTTTAACTTTTTAACTTCTTATGGAAACATTCTGCTATTGTAGTGAGTTATCTAGTTTGATTGTTTTATAAGTGGCCATGAATGAGGCTGCCAAGGTTTGATAAAGATCACGATTTTCTGTATTTTTTTCTCTGATCATCATTTCACACAAAAATAGTCTATTTCTTCATCCAAAGTCTGAGCTTTGCTCCAAACCACACGCTTTTACTGATGGAGGATTGGCTGAAGAACTCTCAATTAAAGAGCCAAGTGTATCATTGACAATTAGACATGACTGAATCTAAAATTTGAATTATTCCACAGCCCCACATTAACTATAATATCTCTATAAATATTAATGTGATACAGCTTCTTCTTTGAAACTGTCTACCCCAGCTTCAGACTCTCACAAAGATGCCTAAATACACGCTCAGATTTCATTAAAGACTTTGTTCTTTGGATGAAACTGAACCCTTCTCCAGTCCATTTATTTCCAGAGAACTGTCTAGACTTATACAGGGACTGAGGCTCTGCTGATGCCACCGCCGTAACACTGTGGTTTAAGGACTCATGGACTCATGTATTGACAGATGCGTGCAGATGTAAGGAAACTATGTGAACATATTTTCCACAGTTTATCCAATATATGATTAGTCTGCCAGTCTGTTTCTGGTAGGCATATTAACATATTGAGCAGAGGTTAGAGTAGTAGATTGTGTCTGTATTGCATATTTTATTGTAGACATTATTAACACATATTACAGCTTATATTTGTTCATTCCAGTTTTGTTATGCTTCAAGTAGAGCTGGCACGGTAATTACTCAATTTCATCATGTCTTTTAATAAATGATAGATGAAACAATAATTATTTCAGGTTCAATTTACGTGGGTACTTTTTCTTTGTACTAGTGAGGAACTTTTGTTATTTTTAGCACTACATTAAGGTCTGTAGAGAGAGCATTAATAGACTTAAAGTAACCATTAGTGTTTCATTTTGCTATGTATCTATTACAGATAATCCTGCTTGTGCCAGTGGTGTAATTTAGTTCCAGTATTATTTTATCATCTATATTCAGCAGTGTATTGTGACAGGCCTAGCTTCAAGAAACATGTACAAATGAAGCTTTCTTTTTAACTTTATGACGTCTTTTGAGACAATTGTGTTTTTGTATTGTGCTAATGCGCCAAATAAGTTCCACCCATAAGCAGTAATAATAATAATATCCAGAGCTGTTCGCACTTAAGTGTCCTTCCTAAACACACACACACTGCATATGTCTCAATCCCCAACCGCCGCCTCACAATGAACCCAGTATCACTCAGATCAGGACCCCTCCTCTGCCTCCAGCCCCTTAAGAAAAAACATATGTGAAGACTCCCGCCAAATGAGTCAGAAGGTTTAGGTCAGATTGGGCCAACCAAATACAAGCAAACAATTCTCCACAATTCATATGTCTGTGTTTACTGATTAAAACAACAGGAAGAAGTCTAGTCTAGGCATTATAAAGAAAAAAATGCTTTATCAGGGCAATGGAGGCATTGGATTTCTGCAAGAAGATACATTTTCATTTTGCTCTTGGCTTTAGTTCAAATTCATTTTATTTTTAAAGTCCAGCATGCAATGTTTTTGTTGTAGGGTCTCCATAGAGAAGTGTTTTTATCGCTCAAAAATACCTTGAAAAACATGCATCATCCTGCTACTCCTGACCTGTGACTTGGCCTGGGGGTGGTACCTTTTCTCGATGGAGATCTATACATTTATTTGCCATACTGTGGAACATTCTGGGCAAAGAAATAACATCTCCATAGAGACTTCCCCCTGAAGTTAGTGCAGCATTAATAAAATAAGCACAAATCTGAGTTTCAAATTTAATTGTATTGCATTCAGTTAGTATGACAAACCATGACCTTTCTGTGCTGCTTTTGCAATTACTTTTCAAATTCCAGATCATAAGTGCCCTGAGGTAATATGGAGTCATGTGAAACTGTGAGTGACTCTGCTGCTGTGGAAATGGTACAAACAAGTCCTTATGATCAAGTAATAAAACAGAAATAACTGCTGAGCTGCTGTAGTCATTGGCCGCGTGCAGCCCCAGTGTCCCCTGTCAGTAATCTGCCCTGTGCAGTCTGCTGTGGTGAGGGTGAATTACTGTAAAGACCACAATGAATGAACGTTACGTGTGTCTGCTGCCTAAGAGATAAAGAAGAGCTCCAAGGAGATAATTCAGATACAAAAGTGGACTGTAAATGTGAAATGGTTAGTGCTAGGAGTGAGTGACTGAAATATTTTATTTTAAATATTTAATTTCAATTCTGTTATTGTACTGCAAAGGAATTTTGATAATGTTTTAGAATTAGGACTCATTGCACATTTTTAAATATTACCAGAAGCATTATCATTTGACAGTAGACAAGAAACACACACATTTCAGAACATGTTTGCAGATGTCAAAACTACAGGGTTAGAAGGTTTTATAGATATTAAAACCATTGGAAATTAATTTTGCAGAGGATATAATTTTACCTAAATAAGCCTCTATGCTTTGCAAATTTAAACATTGAAATTGTGATTCGATTGTGATTCCTCTTGCAGCCTTGGTTAGTGCATTTCCTGTGTGCTACTGCTAAACGCTTGTACTGCTCTTACATTGATTAGATAAGAGTATTGGCTGATATTGGTGCAGATTCTTCAATATTGGTACAGGTCAGTATGGATAACGATATTTTTTGCCATTTCTAAACACTCTTATTAGTCAAAATGGAAATGTAAGAACAGATTTGGCTGTCTGTTTGCACAAACATGTAACAAATAATTTTATATTCTAGATAACTTTTAACAAAAGTGAAAAGTTAGTTAGACTTAGACTTAGACAAACTTTATTGATCCACAAGAGAAATAATTTGGACACAGTAGCTCACACATCACAATAAATTACAATAACAAAGAGCAACAATATAAATTCTAAATAAGTAGCATAAAATAGTAAGAGACTGGTGTGAAATAAGGCATAATAATATAAATGTATGCATACAAGTAAAAATAAAATATAGAAATATAGTAATACAAATGTACCTCAGATATATTGTGATGATTGACAGGACACTGTTGGTACTGTATACATGAGTTGCAAGCCAATTTCATTGTTGCTATAGGAAGTGTCTGGTCCAAGTCAGGAAGGCTGTTGCTGATGAGCCGTCCAGCTGTGTCCTCGTTCACGTCAACCCCAGCCTACACCCTCATGCAGACACACACACACACTCACGCACACACAGCACCCCCACGTCACCCCTCCTGTGTGACGTCCCACAGGAGCACTGTCAGCACTTCAGGTCCAGGAATCCTCACCTTTCAGGCAGAACAGCCCCGGACGACATGTGCCAAAACAAGAGAGGACATTTCTTTTTTGAATGAAGAGTCATAGTTTTAATTTGGAGGAAAGATAGACTTTCAAAGACTATTTTATGAACTTGTTGTTACTCCAAATATTTGTTTTTATATTTATTTTATTTGAGCTGATTCTGTATAATCTGCTATTATATTCTTATATCCTTAACTGTTTTCTTGTGATTATGATGCTCAAAATTATGGTAATGGAATATGGAAAGATTAATTTACAAAAATGTTTACAGACAGACTATATTAATTATTTCTGAAAAACTGTTAAGGTGCCAGAGGTGTGTTATGATAATGAGAAAGAACACTATATTGTACAACTGCTGTAGTTATGTTTATGGATATACAAATTAAACAGGAGGTTGAGACGCAGTGTCCTGTAAGTCAGACTTGGGCATTGTACAGTTCTCAGGCCACCTACGGCCCTTTGGTTGACTCTGACCGACCTGTTTAAACTAATTTGGAATTACAAAATAAACATATTTTATAATTTTACCTCATGCATGGACTAAAGCTGCATTGCTTTTATTTCAGAGGTGTTTTTTTAAGGACATTTTTTGTAAGGCAACCTCACTTTTTCATTGCTTAGTCATAACATATACACAAAACAATGCTATTTACTGCTTTTTATTAAGAAATACAATTAATATTTTGCACCATTGAGTTAAGTATTTTGGTTTCTCTTGTGGCTCCGTGGAAAAAATAATTGCCCACCCCTGCTGTAAGTAGTAAGTAATCCTGCCTTAAACTGGAGTGACAGGATGACTTGTATCTAATCTGTGCACCTCTTGGGCATGTAGTCATGTGACTTGGGGAGGCCCTGTCCCTGTCAGGGGGCATGGATGAGAATAGAGCCCTCTGTTTTCCCATGACGACATCATCATTTTTCTTCTGAGGGCCTCAACATCTTATCCGTCTCAATGGCAGTTTGCAAGACTCAGACACCTCAGGGTCTTAACAGACACATAAATTTTACTGCTACTGGGTGGTCACTGGTCACAGTATAAATTTTTTGTGTAATTATTGAGAGGAGTAATTCACTTTGATTCACATTGTCTAATAGATCATTATTCTTGTATGTGATCAGCTTTATAAAATCCATCTTAAAAGTAAAGTTAATGTGACATATATAGACAGATAAAAAAAAACCAATTTACATTAATTTATCCATTGAATTAAATGTCATTAGTTTTTGCATATATATTACATTATGATGATCTAACTTTTTACCCAGATGTCTTATAGCAAAATTTTAAATAAGATTCAGTTTCAAAGAAGGGGCGAAACTGGATGCAAGCCAAATGAGTAATAATTAATCTCAGAAGTGTTCTGTTTAAGATGGCATTACTGCACATTGCAGAGATCGGACTGTGCTGAAGCATATGTTTGTAAAAGCATAAATCTCACAGATGATTCTTGTAAAAATGTGTTCATAGTTTTATGTTCATCTACATATTTTGTCTTTTGTTTTTTTGTCTCTGCAGATCGAGAGGATCAGTCCATACTTTGCACGTAAGTTGCAGACTCCCTACTCATTTCAAATTACAATAGCAAAAAAGTTAACATTGGCCTGTCACAATAACAAATGTTGAAGGATGATAGATATACAGCTTCAGAGAAATGTAACAATAAATAACACTGAAACTACTTTATGCCAGTGACACAAAACAAGATACTTAAATAGACAGTATCATTAAAAGCCCTGAGCTGCTACAAATAAATAGCAGAATGAACCAATAATTAACCACAGAAGTGACTTAACCTTTTACAGCTCAAATCTTATTGCATTCCTCATTGCAAAGAAAATATGCACACTAGAAATACTGACCCCAAAAATACAGTATATTGTTCCAGATTTCATATATTAAATAGTAAGCCACTATAAAAATTATCATGACAGACCTAAACCGACATTATATTCTGGCTGTTTTTGTCAGTGGAATCTTTTTTCTTTCATCGACTAAAATAAACAATGCTGTCAAAGTCTACCAACAGCCCTGAAGGCCTCGCAAGACACAATAAAGTCAGCACCTCTCACTTATAGTCTGTGTGTCAAGGGCACAGTGAAGGAATTTAACACCAGCGGTCCATAGAAAATAATGATGTAATCCATATAACAGCAGAACTCTGATATGTCCTCTCTGTACCCATTAAATCAGCTTACATACATTACTCACTCGTCCCTGGCACTCCACTTTAACCCTAACACAAACTTTGATCTTTAAACTGTTGTGTACAATAGACAAATACTTAGACCTGTCATACATTTTGAAGTGCAAAGTAAATATAGATGATTAACAATCATATTTGAAACAATAAAGCAAAATTATTCCCCCTAAATGGTCTCTTATTTATTTATGTTGTATGTTGTTGGTTGTTTGTATGGTGCTTATGTTGCTGTCTTGTCTTTGTGTTAAAGCATGTGACCCCCTGTCCAAAGACAAATTTCTTTCATGGAAGGCAATAAAGGAATATCTTATTTTATTATCTTATCTCTTATCTTAAATACAGCAGCATTTTTACTGTGAGTCTTGTCCACCTCCTGTGCGTAAAACTGCAAATCCTTCAGTGCATGCCTGGCTTATTCAAATTTGCACCTTGTGTAAAACCTCAGCTATGATCTAAATCTAAACTGCTGGCCACATTTGTGCATGGCCTTTTTGTGGCTGTCACAGTAAGACAATGATGATAAGTGAAGCAAAATGAATGGAAACTCAAAACTACAGTAGGTAGCACATTCACATCCCTTTTTCTAGGGTCTGAGCCATGGTTTTACTCATAACGCTCTTTCCAGCTTCCAGAAATGTGCAAAGATAATTATGGCAGTGGTTCTAAGTGTGTGGTTGTGATTTGTGATCTTCTTTTTTTTTTATTTCAGGGGTGAATCAGGAGCAGGCAAAACGGAAAACACCAAAAAAGTCATTCAGTACCTGGCCTACGTCGCCTCTTCACACAAGGGACGCAAAGACCACAACATTCCTGTGAGTACTGCTATGAAATTACACTGTAAATGTATCTTTTTATGTCATATTTATGTGTTGCCGTGCTCTTTGTTATTTATCTGTTGTAACTTAAGTTAAAGGTGCACTATGACTAGCCATTGAGATGTTGTTGCTTTGCCTAGAATGTTCCACAGTGTGACAATTGATATTATGCAGGGACATCATACTGGGGGTGTTATACATGTATCTCTATTGGTGAAATGTTCAGCAGTTTACCATGCAGACACTATGCACACATTGGCAAATGCTGTCAAAAAAGTTTTAAGAAAACTCAAGAAAAATACAAATGGATTTAAATTTTCAGGAGCCTGTGATCAATACGAGCATTCATGGTCCAGTTTTGAATTTTTTTCAACAAAAATCTGAAAAGGACTAACTGAAAAACTAATGCTAGCCTGCTTATGACTGTAATTTTATGTGTGAGAGACTTGTTTAGCAGCACAAATCATCTCACTTGTTGTAGTTCCAACCAAGTCAGCTCTTGTCAGATTGTTAAAATTAGGGATGTAACAATAATCGAAATATTGTGATATCGTATCGTCAAAGTTCTCACAATAATATCGTGGACCATCACATCCATCCATCCATCCATTTTCGTCCGCTTATCCGGGGCCGGGTCACGGGGGGAGCAGCCTAAGCAGGGACTCCCAGACTTCCTTCACCCCAGACACGTCCTCCGGCTCCTCCGGGGGGACCCCGAGGCGTTCCCAGGCCAGCCGAGAGACATAGTCCCTCCAGCGTGTCCTGGGTCTTCCCCGGGGCCTCCTCCCGGCGGGACATGCCCGGAACACCTCCCGAGGGAGGCGCCCAGGAGGCATCCGGAACAGATGCCCGAGCCACCTAAACTGGCTCCTCTCGACATGGAGGAGCAGCGGCTCTACTCCGAGCTCCTCCCGTGTGACTGAGCTCCTCACCCTATCTCTAAGGGAGCGCCCAGCCACCCTGCGGAGGAAACTCATTTCGAGCGCTTGTATCCGCGATCTCGTCCTTTCGGTCACTACCCAGAGCTCATGACCATAGGTGAGAGTAGGAACGAAGACTGACCGGTAAATCGAGAGCTTCGCCTTTCGACTCAGCTCCCTCTTCACCACAACGGTCCGATACAGCGACCGCATCACTGCCGAAGCTGCACCGATCCGCCTGTCAATCTCCCGTTCCGTCCTTCCCTCACTCGTGAACAAGACCCCGAGATACTTGAACTCCTCCACTTGAAGCAAAGACCATCACAATATATCGAATCACAAGTCTCTTTGCTTAAATTAAGAGTTATGGTGCAGCAATAGCTAAAAAAAGACAGAGGTAACTACATAGACCTGGATACTTTGCTCCATTTCATTGCCGACTAGATGAAGAAATAACAGTTCTAAAAAGTCTTAGTTCTTTGGATTAAGTCTTGTCAAGGCATTTTAAGAGAAAAAAGTAGCATATTAACAGTTTTGTTAGCGTCCACAAAATATCGCAATAAATGTCGTACCTTGAGATGTATATCGTGAAAATATCGTACCCGAGAGATTTGGATATTGTTACATCTCTGATCGTGAGCCTTCCCACCATATCGTAAGCTTTCCCATGATATCACAATAAATATCGTACTGTGAGGTTCATACTGTGATGATATTGTATCGTGAGACTGGGATATTGTTACACCCCTAATTAAAATAAAGCTAAGACTGAGTAACTTGAACAACAGAGCTTCTACCAGAGTAGTGCTTTCAGTTAGTGTCACACCCCCAGGAAATTATGACAGTATCAGCTGCAAAATATCAATAAACTTAACTATCCATGGAGCCAAGTAGGCAGATAGACAACAGGTGAGTTTAACGAAATACTGTGGAACATTCTAGGCAAAGCAGTAACTACTCCATGGTGACAGCAGGAAAAGTTAGTGCACCTTTAAATATTAATATAGTCCTTATTAATAACAAGAGAAAATTGTACCTATCACGGTTTGTGCACTTTGTGAGCACAAAATCTAACTTTTACATTTGTTTCTAACAAACAGCCAGAATCACCCAAACAAGTGAAACAGGCAAGTCTCCACGCATTCCTATTCACAAAATATCTGCATGTAATTCTAACTTTGTGTACTTATATAGAGCCTGTAAAATGCAAAGGATTTTTTTTTAAAAAGAACTATTATTTTATTCTTTCTTGTCAGGCACAAAATTCAGTTGTAAGTAATTTCAGATCTGGCATGACTTACTTAGACCTTGTGTTGCGTTTTATTGCCTGTTTTCCGTTGTCCTTTATAAACACACAACATAAGCATGTGCATGTATTCTAGTGTAGAGGGTCTCATGTGCTTTAATTTTGGGTTTAGGTTAAGATAGGAATAACCACACCTGTTTGATGTGTCTTTTACATTCATAACCTCTTCATATCAACATTAGACGTCACTATAGTTAGATAATACACTTATTATTATCCTAAAATCCACGCAATTGTAGAGCAGATTCACACTAACACATAATATTGAAAAACCTGTGTATCGTATCCATGACACATTTGAAGTTTGTTTTCTTCCCCTGATAACATTTGAATCTCTCCATGTCTACAGAGTGGACCCCTGTTTTATGTGAGTAGTATGTAGTTTCTACCCTTTAACCCACAGCACAGAGGGGTCTTTTCTCAGTCTGGCTGCTGCTTTCAAAAACTAATCATTTGCCATGCTTTCTATCTGATATAAAAACAAATTAAAATAACATTTTCTTTAGACTTTTACATACTTGGCATGAACTTTGATTTAGTGTTACTTTGAATTACAATAACGATAACACTGATATAAATTTGTGTTGATGTGAACTAACACACTTGTATATTTTTCTTTATTTATAGAGCAATATACTAATATTTGTAAAGCAACAGTTTTTATATCTGCTGCATTTAAGTAGCTGTCGAAACCACATAACACAAAGCTGTTTATGTCTTTATTCCAAAGTCTCTAACTAGCCATGATACTGGGCAGTTTCAGTTTTTTCCCATTTAGTCATACAATGTTTTCTTACAATGTCTGTCATTTTTAAATTTTCCAACAATAAAGGGGCAACCATTTGCAGCTGTATTATGCCAGATGTGTGGTTTCTAGAAGGGGAATGTGGTGGAGCCCATAATGCTGTTAAATTGGGTCCCCCACTGATATTTATAACCTGTGGTTGTTTTAATGTGTACAGCCGGCTGAGGGGGCAATAGAGTATTTAACTACTGCAAGTTTGTAAACAGTGAGCTTTGGTCTGATCCCATTGTGGGTTTTGCCACCACAGTGCTTAAGGGAAATGGATTTTGTTGACATTAGCTCCACAACTAAATAAACTATTCTAAGCTGCCTGTTTTTAAAATGGGCTCTGTATGCAGCTACTGTTTACAAGAATTGAAAATATGTCACCAATGCTTTAGTCTGCTCAAAACTGTTCTGTAATAGGCCACCAGAGGAGCTGTCGACACTTTCAACTATTATGTTTTGAAAGTCTTATATTACGCAAAATTGGCTCTTGTGAGCTTCCAGCCATGTTAAAATGTTTTTACCTCCTCAAAAATATATTTGGAGTTGTGTTTTGTTTCATTCACACATGTTTGAGTAACCCATTATTATTAGTCTGTCTACATCAATAAAGCTTAAAATGCTCTTTTCCACATTGTGATGTCATGAAGTTGTGGTTTACAGACAATAGACAATCCCTACTAACTTTTGTTTAGCAGAGATTGTCAATTACAGGGCTGAAATTATGCATATGATTCTAGTGAAGGTGTATGCAGTTTAAAAACACAGTGGAGCACTTCCTGTATTATCACATGACATCACAAGGTGGAATAGAGTGCTTTCCTCATATATGCAGGTTTTATGTGTTATATGTGAATGAAACAAAACATAACTGGGTATGTTTTTGATGAGACAACATTTTAACATTAATTTGAAAACAGTTTAATATGGGCCCTTTAATACACTCAAGTCCTAAATTTACCACAATGCCATCATTTACTCATAAACCATAAATAAAAGTATTATATTAAAAGTATATCCTGATATTTTGAATTAACTTAGGTGAGCCACATACACTAATGTATTTCACAGGGACCCTTCTCTTTCTCACACTCCTGAGTCTTCATATGTCTTTGTCTGCATGCCTGTGATCTTTCCTGTGGCCCACACTTAATCTCTGATGATTTGAATATTTATGTTGAGGTTGATGTGGTGATGGAGTAATCCTCTGCTTTATTTCAGGGAGAACTGGAACGTCAGCTTCTACAGGCCAATCCCATCCTGGAGTCTTTTGGGAACGCTAAAACTGTGAAAAATGACAACTCATCGAGATTTGTAAGTTTTTGGAAAAATATCCAGGCAGCAGGATTTCCACAGAGTTAACACTTTATGAGGCCCTCCTGTTGAAAGCCACTGTCTTCACATGACATGACATTGTCATCTTACTAGGATTTATACTCTATGTGGTAATTGTAGTTGAAAGTGTGTTTGGCTACTCCCTCAAACAGGTTAAGTTATAATAATACAAAAATGAAAATATATGTTTTATTTATTTAATGTGTATTTATTGTCAGAAGAATGTAATTTACACCTTATATATGCCTTAACTGCTTTCAAAATAACATATAACATTTATTTTTCCCTTCACAGGGAAAATTCATTAGAGTCAACTTTGATGTGACCGGTTATATAGTTGGGGCCAATATTGAAACTTGTATCCTTTTAAAAGTGAAAAGTACTTAACGTATTTGTATCACTGTTGCAAAAAATATTTTTTTTTACTTAACCATCTGCCAGATTTACTAGAAAAGTCTAGAGCAATTCGACAAGCCAAAGATGAACGCACCTTCCACATCTTCTACCAGCTGTTGGCCGGGGCTGGAGAGCACCTCAGATGTGAGTTGGTTTGAATCTAATCGTGTCTAATTTAAAACAGTGCAGACCATATATGAGACACTACAGATCATGTAATTTATCATTTTTGTCTTCAGCGGACCTACTTCTGGAAGGATTCAGCAAATACCGTTTCCTGTCTAATGGAAATCTCCCCATCCCGGGCCAGCAGGACAAAGACAACTTCCATGAAACTATGGATGCCATGCAGATCATGAGCTTTGGGCATGAGGAGATCCTGGGTATGTCCTGAATGCAGTTTTTTATGCTTTTTCAATAACGTCGCAATTAGATTACATTTGAAGTAAGGTTACATCAACGGTCTTAAATCAAATCTCATTTGTGAGTTTGTAGCAAACATCCATGTGATTTGGTTATAGGCAAGGCACGACAAGGCAAGTTTATTTTTATAGCACAAGTCATACACAAAGTAATTCAAAGTGCTTTACAGAATAAGAAATACATTAAAATCACAATAAAAACAAATCAAAACATAATAAAATTAAAGATTAAATTTTAAAAAAGAGAGAGAGATATTAATTACATAAATTAGAGAGAAGAATGCGGAATGAAAACCTTTCAGTCATATATTATAATATTATAATATATTATAATTGTGTCTTATTTGGTAATTTATTTGCTGTTGTTTTATAGCCATGCTGAAGGTGGTGTCAGCAGTGCTCCAGTTTGGAAACGTTGTCTTCAAAAAGGAGAGAAACACAGATCAGGCCTCGATGCCAGATAACACTGGTTAGTACATTGCCACATATCTATTTTACATCTGCAGTGTCATGGCAGCAGCTAATAATACAACCAGCACACAAAATACTTTGCAGCAGATGTCATCAACGTTCACCAGAGGTGCAATGCTAACTGTACACACTGCTCTGTCTGAAGCTCTGTTACTCAAGTTAGACTTCAGAGCTTTGTTTTTTAACACAGTCTGATCATAAAGAACTGATTCAGCTGGAACTACAACAAGGGAGCTGATTTGGGCTGTTAAACAAATCCCTCTCAAATAACATTACAATCACAAACTAGCTAGCATTAGCCAACAGTTTTTCACTTAGTAATTTTCACCTTTTTGTTGAAAGTCAAACACCTAAACCTAGGACCATGAACACTCGTATTGATCACACGTTTCTGAAAATGTGTTGTTTAAATCCATTTTGTATTTTTTATTTTGGTATTTTGGTAATTGCAGAAACTTACTTTTGAATGAAATGCATTGAGGCATTAACAGGAATTTGAGACAGACAGAAGTCATTTTGTTGTTCTACACATTTTAGTAGCAAATGTTTCAGACTTTTTGAAACCTTTGCTACTAAAGAACAACTCCTGAATGTCTTAGGGATTACATCAACACATTTGGCAGGTTTCAAAGCACAACTACTATACAATGTAATACTACTTTTATAGTCATCAGCTCTAAACTATCGCTGTGATTTTCAGCTGCTCAGAAACTTTGTCATTTACTGGGAATGAATGTAATGGAGTTCACCAGAGCCATCCTGACTCCAAGGATCAAAGTGGGACGAGACTATGTCCAGAAAGCGCAAACTAAAGAGCAGGTTGGTTGGATGCTCACTTTGGACTATACACATTGTTTAGTTTATGCGTATACCTAATACACACCTGCTTTTTCCGTTTTTATATAGTACGTATATTAAAAGGAGATTTAGACAGACTTATAACAAAGGGTTACTCAAACGTGCTTGAATAAAACAAAAGATCTAGATATGTTTTTGATAAGGTAACAACAATCTAAATGAATTTAAAGTTCACAAGAATAAATTTTGCACAATATAGGACCTTTTAAAGATTGTATATTATCAACATTGATTATTATTAAATGTTGTAGTGTAAAAGTAAATTCTAAGTATCAAAAGTATTTCTATCAGCAATGTTTAAACTTCTTTTTCTTCTCAGGCTGATTTTGCCATCGAGGCCTTAGCCAAAGCCACATACGAGCGCCTGTTCCGCTGGCTCGTCCATCGCATTAACAAAGCTCTGGACAGGACCAAACGACAAGGAGCCTCTTTCATTGGCATCCTGGACATAGCCGGCTTTGAGATATTTCAGGTTTGAAGGATATTTTTAAACTCTAAACAATGGACTGCTCTACACCCATATATATTGGTTTGAGTATTTGTTGTTTTCTTTTAAATAATTAATTAATTATTGTCTTTGTTGTCCTCAGTTGAACTCATTTGAGCAGCTGTGCATCAACTACACCAATGAGAAGCTGCAGCAGCTGTTCAACCACACCATGTTCATCCTGGAGCAGGAGGAGTACCAGCGCGAGGGCATCGAGTGGAGCTTCATTGACTTCGGCCTGGACCTGCAGCCCTGTATCGACCTCATAGAGAAACCGGTCTGTGTAAACAAGATCAAATTAAATAAAAGTTCAAATTAAAGTTAAAATCCATACTATTTCATTATGTGTTCTTATGTATTGTTGTTTTCAGGCCAATCTCCCAGGCGTCTTGGCTCTGCTCGATGAAGAGTGCTGGTTTCCCAAAGCCACAGACAAGACCTTTGTAGACAAGTTAATCCAGGAGCAGGGGACCCACCCCAAGTTTCAGAAACCACGGCAACTAAAAGACAAAGCTGACTTTTGCATCATTCACTACGCTGGCAAGGTACATTTATGCAGCTACAATATTCCCTAATTAGGTTCCTTGATCATCAATGACAAGCAGCTTTTGAGAAATCTTAAAATTTGTGATGTACTTCACTCAGAAAAGCATGATCAAAGGACTCTCCCAAGTTATTTGTACAAAAAAATGTTAATTTCTGTTAAAAGAAATTAACCACACTGTGGTAGGGACCATGTGAACAAGGACAGGACTCGTGCATAACCTACTAAGTAGCACATCTGGTTAATATTTTATTTACTATCACACAGAAAGACATCTATGCAGAAAAGAGTGAAAAGTTTCAATATTCTCTTAGTGATTGATGGCATTTATATTTATTTATACAACTGCGTACTGTACCAGTCCTCATCTGTTATGACAAAATGATGTGTCTAAATTTACAGGTGGACTATAAAGCTGATGAATGGCTGATGAAGAACATGGATCCACTGAATGATAATGTTGCCACTCTTCTTCATCAGTCAACTGACAAGTTTGTGGCTGAACTGTGGAAAGATGGTATGTATTTAGTAGATCATATTAGGTTTAAATAATTAGTAATTATTTTTTACAAATTCACATTTTAGAGGAGCATTCTAGTAAAACACTTTTAACCATTTTACACTACTAACAGCTGCAGCTCCTTTATTTTGTGATTTCTGATAATGTACATTAAAATCAGCCTCCTTCCTCCTGTCTCTCTCTGTGTTGTAGAGATTCAGACCATTCAAAGGGCTTCATTCTATGACAATGTCACTAGTCTGGATGAGCCTTCAGGTGAATGACTGGGCCATGCTGTAGCAGACCTGGGCCAAAATAATTAGGTTAACATCAGCAGCATTTCATTCACTGCTGGCTTTATTGAACCAGCATTTTACAATCTGGTTTGGCCTATCCTCTACATATTATTGAGTATTTTTGCCCAGATCTGAATGTTGCTATGTCTGTCCTAGCTATTATGGCTCCCATCTGCTTCCCGGCTGCATGTTGTCTCAGCCATAAGCAGTTAAACTAGAAGTTAAACTAGATTAGTGAGTAGCCTTTGTTGTCTATTGGTGGACCAATTAGCTTTTTGTAATTTTTTTGTAATTACTGACCCCCAAGTAAGCATTTGGAAGAGTAGCTGGTTTGAAATCCTGTTTTTGTGCTCTATATGATGGGAAAGGATTCAACATTTTAAGGATTTTGGTTTGAATGAATCACATTGTTTTCACAGAAGGAGAGGGAAATTGAAACCAGATGTTGTTCCCGGTATTTACTTTGGCTCTGAGGTCACACTGCAGAGTCCAGACACTGGGTCACGCTTCACTTGACCAAACTCAAATGACTCAGTAGAATCTTAAATCCATTTTACTAGACTGAACGGCACAATCAGTTGAACTGGCGTTAAATGTCATGAATTGCATCGCTTACTCAATGTAGATCTCTGCCAGTAACCTCAGTTGACGCCAAAAGTAGTTGCACAGCACATGTTTTAGTAGGCCATCATGTAGCATGCCCATGGCCATGCACTCCAATTGCAACAACTAGACCTAGTATCTTGTGTCTGATGTCTCCTCCATTCATCTGCAATCATTTATCTGACTATGTTTACCTACTGTTTTAGCTGGTTTGTTTTCACTGCTGCTAACTGCTGTGCCTGCTTCTTTAGTGGACCGTATTGTGGGATTGGACCAGGTGGCTGGGATGAACGAGACTGCTTTTGGTGCTACCTACAAAACAAAGAAGGGCATGTTTCGTACAGTGGGCCAGCTCTATAAGGAGTCTCTCACAAAACTTATGGCTACTCTGCGAAACACCAACCCCAACTTTGTGCGGTGTATCATCCCCAACCATGAAAAGAGGGTAAGGAACAAGTGATCAAAACCACCAATGTAAAATAATCTTCAGCTTATTATAATATTTATTTAATTCTCAGGCCGGTAAACTGGAGCCTCACCTGGTTCTGGACCAGCTGCGCTGTAATGGAGTCCTGGAGGGGATCCGAATCTGTAGACAGGGCTTCCCCAACCGCATCGTCTTCCAGGAGTTCAGACAGAGGTAACAAGAAATCAGCTGCTCAATTCAAAGTTCCCTTTCATTTCCTTTAGACAATACTTAACATTTATGTGTTGACAGATATGAGATCCTGACACCAAATGCAATTCCCAAAGGTTTTATGGATGGGAAACAGGCTTGTGAGAGAATGGTGTGTATCGCTTACTCTTAGTGAAATGTAATAAATTATATGTACTGCTTTTGATATAATTACAAAAATACATACTCTTCATAATTTTAGATTCAAGCCTTAGAGCTGGATCCCAACTTGTACCGCATCGGCCAGAGTAAGATTTTCTTCCGAACAGGAGTCTTGGCTCACCTGGAGGAGGAGAGAGACCTGAAAATCACAGACATAATCATTTACTTCCAGTCTGTGTGCCGTGGATATTTGGCACGCAAGTAAGTCACATGTTTACATCCACGGTCTATTTTACCACTGCTGTTTAATAAAGTATCTGATCAGTAATGACCTTATCTCTTCTCCAGGGCCTTTGCTAAAAAACAGCAGCAGTTGAGTGCCTTGAAGGTGTTGCAGAGGAACTGTGCAGCCTACTTAAAACTACGACACTGGCAGTGGTGGAGGCTCTTTACCAAGGTCAGGGGTTTGAACGTTCAACAGCATTTGTTGCATGTAGTAAGGCATACAGGTTGTATTATAGATGTGCCATAGGCATTGATGGTATAACTTCAGATGAGGGGCAGTGGCCTATTTATCTGTATGGATGTTTCATAGTAAAAGTGGAATTTAAAATACAGATTGGGTTGACAAATTTTAACAATAAATTAATCTTAGCAAAAAAATTTCATCATTATTTTTGATGACTATGAAGATTTTATGACCGTTTCAGTTTGATTTGGATGAACTGAGTTATTATAGAAATATCAGGTCAAAACACATGAGATTTGACAGTTAAAAAGGCAAATTGTACCACAGAATTTGGACCAGCCTTCCTTTTCAATATTAAAAAAAATAATAATAATTGACATAAGAATGTTGCAATGTCCCATGAAGTTAATGTCATTAAAACTTGTATCTACTTATTTTTCAGGTGAAGCCTCTTCTGCAGGTGACCAGGCAGGAGGAGGAGCTACAGGCCAAAGACGAGGAGCTGTTGAAGGTGAAAGAACGACAGCTGAAGGTGGAGAATGAACTGGTGGAGACGGAGAGGAAATACCAACAGGTGCGACCTTGAGACGCTGCAGCCTCAGTGTAAAAGTGTACAGTGATCATAAACAGCTCACTGTTTATTTTTTAGCTCATGGAGGAGAAAAACATCCTGGCTGAGCAGCTCCAGGCAGAGACGGAGCTGTTTGCAGAAGCTGAGGAGATGAGAGCACGATTGGCGTCAAGAAAACAAGAACTGGAAGAAATCCTGCATGACCTGGAGTCCCGTGTGGAAGAGGAGGAGGAGAGGAACCAGAGCTTACAGAACGAGAAGAAAAAGATGCAGGCGCACATACAGGTGTGTCTCTCATAGAAGTATGAATCATAATATGGATAGGTACAGTTAAATAAGCTGCATTTGTCATTACAGAGCAAAATCAAAATTCATTACTCATCTTTTGTGATGTTAAAATGTCATTCCTTCAGTCTTTCATTGCGTTGGTTGACGATTTTATGCAATTGTGTCATCTAGCAAAATAAAATAATGATTGGGGATAAAAATAATAAAATGAATTCCCACATGGAATTACCAGACTCAAGATTCATATTAAAACTCTTATGATAAATGTGTATGTCATTGATTATATTTCCAGGATTTGGAGGAGCAGCTCGATGAAGAGGAGGCTGCTCGTCAAAAACTACAACTGGATAAAGTCACAGCTGAGGCCAAGATTAAAAAGATGGAAGAGGACATTTTGTTGCTTGAAGACCAAAACTCAAAGTTTCTTAAGGTTTCTGTTACATATTTAGTTTGTCATTTCGGCGTTTTCTATTTGCACTAAAACAAATATTTTGTTTCTTTTTAGGAGAAAAAGCTGTTGGAGGACAGGATCTCTGAAACCACATCTCAACTGGCAGAAGAGGAGGAAAAAGCCAAGAATCTCGGCAAAGTCAAAAACAAGCAAGAAATGATGATGATCGATTTGGAGGGTACGAGACCTAGAATAGTTCAGCCAGATTAGTACAAATCTGATAAAACCAACACAAAAAGCTATCTTTAACTCAACCTCGTAAACTGGTCAGACCTCATGAAGTGCTATTGTTTAAATTTACTGTTTTGACCTGCACAAGGCAGTTAAGTTCTAAGTAGCTAAACCCAATTCCCATTACACACATCAGGCTGTTAGGAGTTAGCCATATATAGTCAGCCGCTTGACCTCTGTATGTCTTATATGACCTGAGTGTAATTGTACTCTGTGCTGACTGTATAACACTGAGATCAAATAGATGTTTGGATGTGTCTTTAGAGCGTTTGAAGAAAGAGGAGAAAACACGTCAGGAGCTGGAGAAAGCAAAGCGTAAACTAGATGCCGAAAACACAGACCTTCAAGACCAGATTGTGGAGGTGCAAGCTCAGATCGACGAGCTGAAGATTCAGCTGTCCAAGAAGGAGGAGGAGCTCCAGGCTTTATTGGCCAGGTCTGTTAGACTGTGTATTTCTCATGTATTTCACCGTATACAACTGTAAATGCAACTGTAAATCAATATAAAATACATTATAGCAATTTAAAGGGGCACTATGGTTGTATGGTTGGAGAGTCTGTCACCTTCTTATGTTTGGAGATACAAGCTGGAACTGTTTTACAGTATGGTAAAAAAAAAAAAAAAAAAAAAACTTACACTAGTTCAATAACAGTTCTTTATATTGCTAAAAGTTGCTTTTCTACAGATCTGACCTATAATGTGGTCAAGTGTCAGATGGGGAGAAGCACGTGGCATAAAGCTTAGATAGTGCACCTTTAAAATGTTTCACCTAACAGTTACAGTAAATTTGAACCTCCTTTGTAATAAGCACTGAGGTTTCGTAGGTTGGGAATAAGTGAATTAGAAGTGATTTCTAAATACAGTCCAAGGCAATCACTGAATTAGAAGATATAGGTTTAGTCCCAATTTAAGCATATTTATTTTTTGTGTTTTGTAAAAAGAAACACATTGTTATGTAAAGTAGATCCAGAAAAATGACCCAGCTACAACACTGCAGCATATCGTGGGTTCCCCTGATGTTTCTGCTCACCTCCTTCTCTCCACTGTGATGAAACCTCTCACAGCTTTCATCTCAAACGCAGCCGTGTCTGATTACAGCCAAATTGATGCTGATTGATGTCCTCCGTCTGTGGCTGTTTATGCGTCATGGAATAAAGGGTTGTCTTAAGCTGACATTTCACAGGACGGGAGGAACTGTCTTATGGTATTATGTGTTTTGAATGGAGAGAGGTCTGTGCCATTTGTTGGACTTAGGCCTGTCACAATAACAAATTTTAAAGTGTCATATATTGCTCAGTTAACTATAGGTGATAAACAAAATATTGAAACTAATTTATGCCACTGACTCAATAACCCAAGAGCAGATTTAAACCATAAACACTATTCTAGATGTACTATATTGATAAAAAACGATGAGCTGCAATTGCTAAAAAGCACAATGAAACTTTTTACTTTTTAGTTTACATCTGTAATATTGCCAGAAAAACCCAAAAATGTTCCAGTAGTGCAAAGAAAAAGTGCACACGCTAAATATTGACCCCAAAACGTGACAGGGCTAGAGGGACTTTTTTACACTTTCATATCGCATTTTCATAATTATTTTCCTCCTTTAGGTCATTTAAGTTTGTATTTAAATCTGTTTAGCACCTACTTAAGTTTGAAGGTCAGTTAGGATAAGCTGGGGCTGGTGCAGAGGGGATCATCCACATCTGCCTGACTAATTTCACACTGAAATCATCGGTTTAGTCACAGCTCTACACATCTAGATGTTAATTACAATCTCTGAGACTCTTAATTCAGATGCTATTCCCAGAGCCAGTACATGAGTGACTGTTACTGTAGCTGAATGTTGTTCTTTGTTGCCTAATGTGCTGCAATACAGCCACACAGAACTGTCTTATCTCATACACAAGCTTAATGCTTGTGTTATATTGTTTCTCTAGCTGCCCACATATTTTAAACTAAAATGCTCACTATACTGCCCTCTAGTGTGCATTTTTAAACTTTTTACTTTAATGTATATTTATACCATCTTACAATGTGATTGAATTGTGGATTCATATATTGTTTGTGTATATCTTTATTTTTATTTTAGCCACTATTTAAGCAGGAAAGTACCATGATCTGCAATAATACTGGCCATGAGGCAATCATTAACACAGCCCATTGACATTTCATTCAAAAGAGACAATGTGCAGTTAAAAAAATGTCTTAAAAAAAATATTTAGAGACAGCAAAAGATTAATGATTGCATCTCCAAATTTTTTCAAAATGATGACAATGATTTAGGATCACAGCTGTATGTTTGAATAGATGTTATTTCCTCCCAAATAGTTACCATCTGTTTCTTCTCATCTGCTGTGGTTTTGTGTTGACACAGGAGTGATGAGGAGACCCTCCAAAAGAACAATGCTCTGAAGCAGGTGCGTGAGCTGCAGGCCCAGCTGGCTGAGCTGCAGGAGGACCTGGAATCAGAGAAACTGTGTCGAAGCAAAGCCGAGAAACTGAAGAGGGACCTGAGCGAGGAGCTGGAGGCACTGAAGACCGAGCTGGAGGACACACTGGACACTACCGCCGCACAGCAGGAGCTCAGGTCAGGAGTCAAAGTGTGCTACACTCTGTATAAACACAACATCTACAGTGAGCAGGATTACAATATTACTTTTTTATTATTATATTTTTATTGATTTTGAACATAGCTGGGTAGCAGAACAAAAAATTAGAATGACATCTTATTGGTTTTACAAATCCAGCCAGTCTCCCTTTATACTGTCAAATTTCTCTGTTTCTAATCTTAAAGTATGAGTCAGTTCCTCCTTAATATAAATGTCATGCATCAACCCACTTTTCCATTAACCATTTCCTAGTACGAACCAGCTAACAACACGGTCCGAAACATCCTGATATTCAAGTTCTTTTTACAATTAGCATCAGGTTTACCCAAATAAACCAATTCAAAAGCATAAGGGGGTCAGCATTAAGTACTTTATCTACACATTTCTTTAGATCTGTGTAATAGTTCTGTACCAACGGACAATTCCAAAAAATATGAAAGTGATTTGCAGGATTACAACATTTCTAACCTGACACTGCATCCCATTTTCTTTTTTCAAACCACTCTGGAAGTCTATGAGCAGCCAATCACATCAGTTTATGTTGTAACTGTGGACGACATCTGCTCATATCATTCAGTGCGACCCTAACCCAGCAAGTCTGTCACTTCTGATTAACAGTGTTTAGTAATAATGCATTTGCCTCATTTCCATTCTTGCAAAAGCTGCAATGTTTGTTTTGACACAATTTCTCTGTAAATCCACTCTCCCTCAATCCTGCTCATGGGAACACTGCGCTAATCCAAGAATCCAGATTAACTTCTTTATATATAACTGTGGAAGAATTAGTATTGATTGGTCAGGCTAACATTTCTGACTTATCTCTCTTCAATGTGCATCTACAGAACGAAGCGCGAGCAGGAGGTGGCAGAACTGAAGAAGGCCATAGAGGAAGAGACAAAGAACCATGAAGCTCAGATCCAGGACATGAGGCAGAGACACGCTGTGGCTCTGGAGGAACTGTCAGAGCAGCTGGAGCAAGCCAAGAGGGTAACTATGTGCTGCACAATATATCACAGATGTATTGATATCACCATATTGACCAACACAATAATTGATATTAAAGCAGACTGACTATGTGACTTTTCAGAGCTTTTAATCATGTTGGTGTTGTTTCCCCCTCGTGATGTCTGAGCAGTCTTCTGTATTTAATTTTCAAGGCTCCATATTGCCGATCAGTTCCCGTTTTTGCTGCCACCAGTACGCACACTCTGCTCTGCGCATTCTCCAATTTTATTTTCTTAATCAGTGATCGCCAGAACCGTCTGGTCACTTTGGTACAAAGTAGGGATGGGCATTCGGTGAAATTTTCTTAATCGATTAATCATTAACGTTTTTATATTAAAATTATCATCATTATTATTACTATCTGCACTACTAATGTGCATAAATAAATTCAACTTTACGACATATAAACCGTAACGACTCTAGAGCCACATCAATCCGTTTGAAATTATAATGTGTTTAATTCAGTTTTGCACAACTCTCACAAAAACGAAACTTAAAACCGCATCGCTAATTTGCATAAACTATGCGAAGATAAAACTACAGCTCTTGTGTCACTGATGCGGTCAATTTCTGTCGGATTAAAAGACATGACTCAGTGGAATACAGGTTAGTGTGATCATATTTGCGTTTGTCAAAACCAGGACACCGTACGGGGGGTGGGAGGTGGGGACTCGTCATCGACATTGCGCGACTCTCACCTGGTAAAGCTTTTTCCCACTGGACACCGAAACATATGTGCTGCTTTATACACTGTGCACATGGACTCACACTTGTCCCGAACGGAAAGCGTGGACTTTCTTGTACAAGTCATCGTTGCACATCATTCATATTTGCACTTCAGTACACTGCAGACTGACCGACTGTTTGTGTCTCGCTCTTTCTGAGTGCAGAGAGCTACACGTACTGACCCTGTTTGGTCACTCTACGCTACGCACAGCAACCTACATTCGGTTTGTCGATTAAAATGAACGTAATCGATGAAAATCTTAATGATCAATTATCGATTAATCGACTAATCATGCCCATCCCTAGTACAAAGGCCTCTTTGTCATTTTACATCATTATTGCGATTTAAATGTTCAAAATTATAATGTACGAGTGTCGAAGTTTATAACTATATAGCAGACACAAGCAATCTTGTTTGTTTTGTCTCTGTTTATATTAAAAGATCATAATAATATTAATATCCCACTTCTTACTAGCCATTGAATAATTTTTCCAATATTGTGTAGTCCTAATATTAGCAGAAAATACTTGTATAAATGCTTGTATATGCATTACAGTTCAAAGCCAACCTGGAGAAAAACAAGCAGAGCCTGGAAAGTGACAACAAGGAGCTGTCGTCAGAGGTGAAGAGTCTGCTTCAGGCCAAAACCGAGTCGGAGCATCGCAGGAAGAAACTGGAGTCTCAGGTGCAGGAGTTCATGAGTCGCGCCACTGAGGCTGAGATGGCCAAAGGAGAGCTCTCTGAAAGATCTCACAAGCTGCAGGTATTAAGCCAATTTACACTGTATAAGCTGTACTTTTAAAGGTCCTATATTACGCAGAATTGAATTGAATTGATTCTTGGAGCTTTAAACCATGTTATAATGTTGTTACCTCGACAAAAACATACTCCATGTGTTTTGTTTCATTCACACATATTTGAGTAATCCTATTATTAGTCTGTCTATGTCTCCAAAGCTCAAAATGCTCTGTTCCACCTGGTGATGTCATGAAGCGATTATTTTAAAGTTAACAGCTACCTTTTTACTTTAGTTCAAAAGAAATCAGAAATTCCAGGTCTGAAATCATCCGAATGACACCAGTGAAAGTGTACAGGGTTCAAAAACACAGTGGAACACTTCCTGTATTACCACATGACATCACAAGGTGGAGTGTTTTCTGTTTGAGAGAAGAACTCAACCTAATATGCACGTAATATGCATATGTTATGTTATGAGAATGAAACTAAACACAACTCCAGGTATGTTTTTGATGAGGAAACAACTTTATAACTCAGAAAATAAAACTCTTGAATGCTGACATTGGGTATTGTCCATAGATGGAGTTGGACAATGTGTCTTCCATATTAGAAGAAGCAGAGAAAAAGGGCATCAAGCTGACCAAGGATGTGGAGAGTCTGGAGAGCCAGTTACAAGACACACAGGTAGGTTGCAGAATGTTGTCAAACATTAACTGTAGCATTATGTTATATCTCTGACATTATATTTTCTCATACCTGTTATTTTGTTCTGTGGTTGTAATTGTTTAGGAGTTGCTAAAAGAGGAAACTCGTCAGAAGTTGAACCTGAGCAGCCGCATCCGTCAGCTGGAGGAGGACAAGAACAGTCTGTTGGAGCAACAAGAAGAAGAGGAGGAGACAAGACGAAACACAGAGAAACAACTGCAGGCTGTGCAAACTCAGGTAGCATGCACAACCACCTTAAATAGATACGTTTAGAGATTCATAGGTTAATGTATGAAACATGCATCAATCATATTTGGAACTGATACCTTTAAGTGATCAGGTTTAGGAGCATAGGTAAGATAGAAAGATTTTTTTATTACAAATACTGTGCGTATGGGTCCCATTTATAAATTAAGGACTGCTTCAGGGATGTCCTATTTAAAAAAAGTATTTAAACTGAATGTGGTGAGTGTTTGTCTTTGCTGTATATTTTGTAATAAACTAAAGTAGGCTAAAATAGGTGGACAGGAATTACAGTTCTCTTATCGATTTGAACACTGTGCTCTTGCTTTAGCTGTGTGAGTCCAAGAAGAGGCTGGACAGTGACACTTCTGTAATGGAGGCCCTGGAGGAGGCCAAGAGGAAGCTGCAGAAGGACCTGGAGCTGTCCCAGCAGTGTCTGGAGGAGAAGGGCATGGCCATGGACAAACTGGAGAAGACTAAGTCCAGACTTCAGCAGGAGTTGGAGGACATCATGATCAGCCTGGACCAACAGAGACAGGTGGCATCCAACCTGGAGAAAAAGCAGAAGAAGTTCGACCAGGTACTGTATCACAACTGAAGATTACATTATTGTAAAAAAACGTCTTTACTAGTGCTGATATGAAAACACATGTACTCTGAATAGTTGCTGGCTGAAGAGAAGACAATCTCTGCTCGCTATGCAGAGGAGCGTGACCGCGCTGAAGCAGAGGCCAGAGAGAAAGAGACCAAACTCTTATCTTTGGCCAAAGCTCTGGAGGACATGACGGAAACCAAAGAAGAACTGGAGAGGTTCAATAAACAGCTGCGGGTCGAAATGGAGGACCTGATGAGCTCCAAGGACGATGTGGGCAAAAATGTAAGTCTAGTTTTCTTACCTTACCCTGACATTGTACTCATTATTGAGAGAAAGACTTCATTTAATGTGATGTGGCTTTTTGTTTTTAGGTGCATGAGCTGGAGAAGTCGAAGCGCACGCTGGAGCAGCAGGTGGAGGAGATGAGGACTCAGCTGGAGGAGCTGGAGGATGAGCTCCAGGCCACAGAGGATGCCAAGCTACGTCTGGAGGTGAACATGCAGGCCATGAAGGCCCAGTTCGACAGGGACCTCCAGACCAGAGATGAGCAGGGAGAGGAGAAGAAGAGAGCACTGGTCAAACAGGTAACATACTGGTTGGGTTATTATAAACAGTTCTGAGATGAGTTCACATCACGAGGTGTGGTCATCACCAGGTGCGTGAGATGGAGGCAGAGCTGGAGGATGAAAGGAAGCAGAGGACTCTTGCTGTGGCTGCCAAGAAGAAGCTGGAGATGGATCTGAATGACCTGGAGGGACAGATCGAAGCAGCCAACAAGGGCAGAGATGAAGCAATCAAACAGCTGCGCAAATTACAGGTATTCACTGAGCTTTATGTATGTATGTGTGCAATGTATAATTGAGTGAATAAACCTGTGATCTGAATTGTGTTTAAATCTATGTTACTTTCTTGTGTTTTGTTTAGGCTCAGATGAAGGATTACCAGCGCGAGCTGGAAGAGGCCCGAGCCTCTAGAGATGAGATCTTCACTCAGTCGAAGGAAAACGAGAAGAAGTTCAAAGGCCTTGAAGCTGAAATCCTGCAGCTACAGGAGGTAAACTTCACAAACACCTCACAGTAAAAAGACAAGTACAAACAGGCACACTGAGATGGTGTGTTTAATGTCTCTCCTGTGTAGGACTTTGCAGCATCTGAGCGAGCGCGTCGTCACGCTGAGCAGGAGAGAGACGAGCTGGCTGATGAGATCTCCAACAGCGTCTCTGGAAAGTCTGTCTTTCATACTACTCTATATTTGATGTTCTGTTTATGTTCTACAGAGTTCATAATGTGGTTTGTCTTAGGTCGTCCCTGCTGGACGACAAGAGGAGGCTGGAGGCCCGTATCTCTCAGTTAGAGGAGGAGCTTGAGGAGGAGCAAGGCAACATGGAACTGGTCAATGACCGCCTCAAGAAGAGCAGCCTTCAGGTGAACATCAGTATTAAATAGCTGTTGTTAAAATGTGTCTCTAAACACCTCACCACCATGTGATGTGTGTGTTTCAGGTGGACACTCTGACCGGTGAACTGGCCACAGAGCGCAGTGCTGCACAAAAAGCAGAAAACGCCAGACAGCAACTGGAGCGGCAAAATAAGGTCCCAAGCGTAAAATAAAAAGTTTAAGTCAAACTAATTTTATTTTGAAAAGGCTGAAGCATTATTTGTCATCTATCAGGAGTTGAAAGCCAAGCTAACAGAACAGGAGGGCTCTGTGAAGGCCAAGTTTAAGGCCTCGATCACGGCTCTAGAGGCGAAGATCCTGCAGATGGAGGAGCAGCTGGAGCAGGAGGGGAAGTGCGTATTGAGTGAAGCATAGCACATTATCGTTATTATTATATACTTCGAGTTTGTGTTTTTAGCACTTATGCATTGCTTGAATTGTAACTTTATGACTCCGTCCTCATTTTGCAGAGAGAGAGCAGCTGCCAATAAAGTGGTGCGCCGGACAGAGAAGAAACTGAAGGAGGTCATGATGCAGGTGGAGGACGAGCGTCGCCATGCTGACCAGTTCAAAGAGCAGGTAAGACTTCAGTCTGTCCTCACCCAGTCCACACGGAGGCAATGTTCTGACGCGTGTCTGTTTCAGATGGAGAAGGCCAACGCTCGCATGAAGCAGCTGAAGCGACAGCTGGAAGAGGCTGAAGAGGAGGCGAGTCGAGCCAACGCATCCAGGAGGAAACTCCAGAGAGAACTGGATGACGCCACAGAGGCCAGCGAGGGCCTGACACGAGAGGTCACCTCACTCAAGAACAGGCTCAGGTGAGACTAATGCGCTTCACACCTCTGTATCTCCGTAAATATGTTTACATTCAAACTTTAAATAACTCCTGTTGTGCTCCAGGCGAGGGGGGCCCGTGAGCACCTTCTCCTCCTCGAGCCGCTCCGGCCGGCGTAACCTAAACCTGGACGGAGCGTCTGGAGACATGTCTGATGATGACGCAGACAGCCGCGCCAGTGACTTCAATGATACACAACCCACTAACGCTAATGAGTAACCCCCCATGTGGGCATTTCCTCCTCTGTCATTCCTGACCAGATCTCCTTCACTAAACCCCAGCACAGCTCTGATTCTGCTGTTTATGTTGTGGACACTGCATTGAAAACCACCACTGCCCCAGGACCACGAGCAATGGGGCAAAAAGACATGTGGCACTGCCTTATTCCACTGGCACGCCATTGTGTACCCTCCTCCATCAGGTATTGATTTATCTGCTCAGCTTATTGAGAAAGTATGCATAGGTACTAAGTGCTTTTATATTAAACTCAAGTATGTAACGTTTATGGCGTACTGCGGACTGGAAATGCAGGGGATGTATGTAAACAAAACATAGTATTGGATGTTTTACTCACCGGTGTCTAAAAGCCATTCCTTATCGGACAGGCCGGGTCCTACCACGCTCATCTCAAAATGGACCCCAAAATGAAGCTTGCTCTAAAGATGGTTTTGTTGCATGAGGCCTCTTCCAAACATCTCACAACGACTAACATCTCGGGACATGCAATACAACAGAAGACTGGATTTAAGTATTTTACTGTGAAAAGGGTGTTTTATTTTCTGATGCTTCATCTCAACATGCAGCAAACGAATGTCTGGCTGAGTTTGAACTGGAAATCTCACAATGTTAACCCTTTTGTATTGAACACTAGTGTTTATGAGAATGCCCTGTGAATGATTTTCAGACTGGATCAGACTGGAACAGGAAGCACTACAGCAGGATATGTTCTGTAACCTGTGTACTCTTATTACAGCTTTGCCCACATCGGTCACTTATAAAAGCAGATGGAAGTATCATCACGCGAATGTGTTTCGTGCTTAGTCTCAGTCTTTTTCTCTTGCGTTTCACCAACTAAAAACAAAATACCAAGAAGTTTTGTTGTTGTTTTTTTTTTACATTGAAGAAACTATATAGTCACAAGTAATTTTACACACTTGTTTCCATGGAGATGTTATAACGTCACCAGGAATTTTACACAGTATGGCATTAAAATGCATGTTCCTATTAGAGATGTTATTGCTAAAGATGTGTTTAATGCCATACTGTAGAAAATTCCAATCGATGCAAATAAACATCACCATGGAAACAAGTTAAGTTTCAGACCACCAGTAAAAGTTACATAGTGCACCTTTAAGGTTAAATACAGGCTTTGGAGTTTGTTTTAAGTGATCATGACAGAAAGATTGTGGCTACACTGTGCCATGATTTTGGACTTTTGACAATGCTATAAAGCACTTACTATTCAACGGTTGTCTGAAAATGTATTTTAGTGTAAGTTTTTTTTTAGCTGAATTTCCCTCAAAACAACCACTAGATCAGTATCCTTTTCCACTCTTCTCTTGGTACAAATATGAGAAGAATGGATGTCTAAGCCCCATTCCAATATTAACACATATATTATGTTTCTTTGAAGTGCCTTAGACACTCAATAAGAACATAAAGTGGGCAAGGACGTCCTCCAAACAAACTCAATAATACAAAAATGAATAATACAACAATATTAATATAATAATAATAATACAAGTACCTATACATGTTTTTTGTATTTTTCTTGCTGTGATTCATATCAAGCCCGCTGCATACATTTTAGAATATTGTGTTTGGGTCAAAATCACTATTAAATACAGTGTTATAATGAACTACACAGGAAGCTGCTTTGCTCCTTATTTCCTCAGCAGCTGCACTTTCTAAAATATTTAATTTCAAATATAGTTTTCGGTTTTAGTCATTAGATTATTTTGGCCAATGTCACTCTGCAGAGGATTTCATTTGGTTGGAAGCTTTAACACCAACAGGTAGTCAACGTGATTAAATTATCCAACTGCAAACACTTCACTAGTTTTTCTTGTATACCTGTATTTCTAGACAGCAATTTGTTTTTGTAAAAGAAAATAAAGCATATTCATTGTATTTGCTTCACTCTTTGAACTGAATGTCTCCTTCATCCATTAAAGTGCATTAATGATGAGTACAATTTAAAGGTACACTATGAAACTTTGGGTCGTGTGTCTCCGTGGAGATGTCATTTCAATCATTTGCTGTGGAATGTTGCACAGTGTGACATGAAACGTGTCTGTCATGCATTCATTCAGTTAGATGTGTTTAAATGTCTAAAGACGTCACATTCTTGTTACTGTGAGCGAAGTCACCACTCCACAGATCTGACCTGTAACATGACCTGTGGCATCATCTTGGTTCTATGGAGTTTGATAGGTTTAATGCCGTATTGTAGATCATTCTAGGCAAAGCAATAACATCTCCGTAGAGACAAACAGGGTGACCAGACATCCCTATTTCTGTGGGACAGTCCTCAATTTTGAGCCCGGTGTCCCCAGTCCTAGCAGATTCATCCAAAACCATTGATTTGTCCCTTTTTTATACAAGAAATGTCCCTGGTGTTACTATTTTTGTCAGTAGAGAGAGGCTTCAATTGTCATTTGTTCAGGTAAAATATAGAAAAGCTGCTTTAAAATGACCAAAATACAAAAAAAATGACTATATTGACTCACATTAGTGCCGAGTGCATGACAATTTTCCTTAATTATGCACACGTTTCACTTTTTCTTTTTTTTTTTTATTACCAACCAACCCAAACCAGGGATGTCCCAGTTTTTTATTCTGAAAATCTGGTCACCTTAGACAAGCAGACAGCGAGCCCTCCACCAGAAATGTTACCCATAATGCATCTTTAAACATTGGAATAACTGTTGGTTTGATTAATTCAGAAATCAATTTAAATTATAAATTACATTTCCCAAACAATGACACTTTCAACACATTGTGTAAGATAAAATACTGGAGGTGCCCAATAAGATTTAGCTCAAATTTGTTTATTGATTGGTCCTCTTCTTGACTCGCTGCTGGCTTTAGTTCGAATATGGTCAAAGGAGAGGTCAAAGGTCAAACATTTGGGGAACATGATAGAAAAGAGTGCAGTTTAAAAACACTGCACAAATCAGGCCCAGACATTATGTCCTCTACAAAGTACAGCTGCTGTAAAAATGGCTCAACTACTTTGGGAAAATATCCAATTCAGACTTTTTCTATGCCAGTGATGTGATTGTATCTGCAATAGAAAACAAGATTCAGTTCACAGTAGGTTACTTTAGAATGTCTTATATTACACAGTACGGTTTAAGCCATGTGAAAATGTTGGTTAGCTCATCACAAACATAGAAATATACCAGGTTTCTTAGTTAAGACAAGCACACAAAAACAAGATTGATGTTGAAAACCACTTGTTTTAATTTTATCATTGACACAAAAAATAATCTACAAAAGACCAAATTAGGTTACAATTTAACCATGAAATGTATTTTTTTTTGTCCCTGTCGAACATAATTTAGAATGTCACTCACTGCCTCTTTCACATACACGCACACACACACGGACACACACAGACGGAGCAGCTGACCCCATCACAGAGACCTACTCATACATCTTTGGCGGCATTCTCGGTGCAGCTGTCCATCCCACATTCAAACGGGGCCGAGGAGGAAGAACGGTTTTGTTAACGGAGGTAATCAAGGGAAGGTTCGTCTATGTGTGGAAGAACAGCCATCCAACTGACACACGCAGACTTCAACTTAAACAGGTTGTGAGCCAAGCCATGACTTGTACTTTTGCATTGAGCGTTTTATGGTCCTGCATAGTTCCTTTCTCTTATGTCAAATACAAACTAAGGCGTCAAGTTATATTAAGTTGATTTGAGTCAATAAGCAGAAAAACAATTACTAAAAAAAAAAAAGTTAACTCAAAACAATTCAAGTAAGCTACAATCTTGACGTGTGCCCTCTTCCTTAAAAGTTGCACTATGGAGCTTTTCTTGTGGAGTGTGCGCTACCTTTCTGACTCTGGAGACATAATTGTTTTGTAAGAAATATTAGTCATCTCCATGATGATAAGCAGGCCAAATTACAGGTCAGATCTGTGGAAAGGGGACCACGCTCATAGAAAGAATGCACGTTTAAGCTATTTCTTTGAACAATAAAAATACATGTAATTGTGTAAGTTTAATTGTGCACTGTGGAATATTCACAGTAATGTAGAAAAGTAGATGGACCTCTACCTTGAAAAGCTCCATAGTGGATCTTTATTGGACGCTCCTCTGACCTGAAGAAGAGCCTGGACAATTTTAATTCAAGTCTTAATTCCACAAAAAGGTCCAGTGTGATTTTAGCACCTAGCACACTGCGGAGCCAACTAAAGAGGGCGTTCATACAAGAGCATCTGTAACAAATTAACAGTATATAGTTTTCCTATGTACATACACGTATCCCAAAAAATCAACCTGCGCGCTTTCATAACTTCATAATAACAATGTTTTGTCCCTGTGAACTTTACAAATAATTTATCAACATTAAATTAAGCTACTACTTAACAGTCATTTTGTGGGAAAAGACGTGACCAACAATAAAACTTAGCGGACACAATGGATCCCACGTCGGAAACGAAACATAAAAATAAAAATTCATTATCATCTGTTTTGCTTTATATACTGCAAGAGTCCTGGTCTCCTACATAAGCTTAAATACAAATTATATAATAAAGATAGTGTTATTTCCTCTTTCGGTACCAACACCTCGCTCTCACTCCATCCACAGTGATCAAGGTCGGTCTTATGTAAACATGTCGACAAAATAAAAAAAAATAAAACAAAAAATAGGTGTATTTACCATTCACTCTGTCTTGTTCTCATACCCGGTTCAATAGAAAATACAGTTCAGGTCATAATTCATCATTGCCACTTCGTCCTTAGGTCCGTTAAGACGAGGCCCAATAATACCACATGATTACAAATAAAGATTCCTATTGGATGATTCCAGGGGGTGGGAAGTGGCCCTGCGCTCTGATTGGTCAGTGGGGCTTCCTCTTGTCTCCTCCCTGGCTTTGGTTCGAATCTGGTCAAAGGAGAGGTCAAAGGTTAAGCATTTGGGGGACAAAAATGGAAAACACTGCACAAATCAGGCTTAACATTATGACCTCTACACACTACACCTGCTAGAAAAAGTGCTCAACTATTCGGATTTTTTCTTTGCTAGTGTGATAAAATTTGCAGCACAAAACAAGATTCAGCTCACAGTAGGTTAATTCAAAGGCATTATATTACACAAAATTGACTCTTGTGAGCTTTACACCATATTATAATGCTGTTACCTCATGAAAAACATGCCCAGAGTTTTGTTTTGTTTCATTAACACATGTTTGAGTGATCTGAATTATTAGTCTGTCTACATCTCCAAATCTCAAAATGCTCTGTTCCACCTTGTGACGTCATGTAGAGATTGTTTAAGTTAACAGCTCCTTGTACCTTTAGTTCAAGAGAGATCGGCAATTCCAGGACTAAAATTAAACAAATGATGCTAGTTAAAATGTATGGAGTCTAAAAACACAGCAGAGCACTTCCTGTATTAAGTTGAACGAAGTGTTTTCTGTTTGAGAGAAGAACTCAACCTAAATATGCAGGATTCATGTGTTAAAAGTGTGAATGAAACAAAACATAACTCCAGGTATGTTTGTGATAATTGTGCATTATTCTTTATTAGCAAGAACATCAATTAATTTAAGTATGTCATTTCTGTTTAGTTTCTTCTTATAACCAAGTGCATTTTTATTTGACTATTATTGTCCCATTAACTGTGCTTTATTATTCATAGTTTGTCAGTGTGAATGAAAGGGAATTATGGATTTTAATGTTGTCATGTTTATAATATTTGTAAAAAAAAAATAAAAAATAAGTTACAATGCTTCTTCAAACAAAACAAAAAAATATCCTAAACAGGGGAGAAGATTAATATTTATAGAAGTATCCCATGTGTTTTGTAGAGGTTTAGCCTGAATACAACTCTACATAACTGCTGTGTTTTTTGGGATTATTCATTTACTCATCAGTGGTCATAATGTTTTGCCTAATAGGTCTAAAGTGACTATTTTAAACAGGAGTCCATAAACATGCAACTAGAGACCTATAAGTGTAGTACAATCAGAAGAGGCATGCCTGACAGTAAACACACACAGAGCCAAAGGAGGAGATGAAGAGGAGAGGCAGAGAGGAGGTGGACAGAAGCAAAGAAGTTTACCTGAGAAAGCAAGCTGCAAGTGAGGAGGTAGGGCAGCCTGCGACCCTGACTGGAGACTCTTATACAGATCTGAGGAGAGACGGATGCATGGGCAACAACACAGTGAGAAGAAACAACAATGGAGGGATATGTAAACGAAAGCACAAAAAGAGAGGCATATTAAAATCAGAGGCAGCAGAAGAAGAGAGCGAGGGATTACAGTACAGAAGCGGAGGAGGACAAAAGGGTCAGATGGCACACACAGTGAGATACAAAAGATGGAGAATAAAGAAGATGACATAAATAAGGCTGCAGACTACAGCAGCTGAAGGAAACAAACTCCATTAGGCTGTCAGGAGTTCATAAGTAGCAGATGAAGCTTTTGTTGAACTGGAGCTAAACTAAACTATGCATATAGTATTTTAATAATATTGTGTACTGTAAATTTGCAGATTCCTGGTCAAAAAGAGTCTGTGCTGCCTCCACTGGCCACTCAAATTTCAAGTACTACGTGACATCACATAAGACTGACCTAATTACAGTCAGGTAACTCAGATTACAAACCCCTGGCTGCTGGAGTGGAGTTTAAAGTGTGGAGACCCGTTCTACCAATCTTACTTTTCCTCATATGTCCAGACTGAGCTGATATTACCATATTTGTTGTTGATTTTGTGTATTAAGAGTATTAAGTTGTTTAACTGAACACACAGGAATTATACTTTCTATATACACAAAGATTTCCCTGCTAATGAGTTCTTCTTGCAGCCGTTTTTCTAAACTATAGATGATAGATTTAATATTAAAATGTCAAGATCACATTTTTTAAGAATAAATATCTCCCGCCTCTCTGTGTGTCTTGTCTTTATTCCAACAGTGAATCTATTAGTTTAAATAAAAAAAATACTCACCCATCAGGTCGTTCTGTGCTAAGGGGTATCCTGAGTTGGAGCTGGGGGTGGAGCCCATCCCAGCAGCCCCTGGGGCAGAGGGGCTGAAGTTGAGCAGAGGGGGAAACTGGAAGGGCAGTGAGACGGGCACCAGGCCTCCCAGCATGCCAAAGCCAAGCGGCATATTGGACGAGTTTCCCAGGAGCGAGGAACCAGTATTTGACGCCTAAAGGGAAGATAACGACAATCAGTCAATCAATCCATCGCTTCATTTTCCAGAACTGCCGTGAAGTGAAAACATTGGACAGGTCTTTTTACCTGTGGAAGGTGTGATGTTGTTGAGGACGTAGGCAAACTTCCTGAAGACGACCAGCCATTACCTGCCTTGGAGCTCTGGTTGGTCCCGCCCACAACCCTCGATCTCTGCATCTGATTGGCCGAGGGTGAGGGGGCAGGGGGAGGGGGAGTTCGGTTGTTAGAGTTATTATTGAGAATGCTACTACTGCCAGGAGTCTGCTTCCCGCCCGGGACAGTGAATGGGGGTCTGAAGGGTTTAGGGGGGTACTGGTGCGGGCTGGACAGGGAGTGGTGGGTCATTTGTGAGGGAGAGGGGGAAGGGGGTGGTGTGGGCACTGCGGGCCGGGGGGTCAGTTTGATAATGGGAGATGCATTGGTGTGAGACGCCTTGGTCAGAGTGGCCTGCATTGGGGTGATGAAGTTAGGCTGAGGAGCTTTGGCAGCAGAGGAGTGTGTGGTTGGCGTGGCAGGAGGTGAGGAGACCTGAGGGGAGGGGGGGCAGAAGGACTGCATGGAGTGGGGGGCGTTGGAGCGGGATGCGGAGGGTGAGGGGGCAGATGTGACGCTGCCGTTGGCTGTAGCTTTGGTCACGGCCTGATGTGACCCCATCGAGCTCAGCACCCCTGCTGCACTGGAGAAGGTCCTCTGATGGGGGGGCAGCAGGGGGGAGGCTGTGGGAGGGGGGCGCTTTGGGGGGGATGGAGAGGGATGTGGGTGAAGCTTGGCACTACCCATGATTAAGCCCTGTCTGTGAGTAGGCGATGCCATGGCAACGTGTCTCTGATTTGGGGTTTGTCCAATGCCTTTGATGGGTCCATACAAACCCTCTGCAGTCCTCGAGGAGAGTGTCTGCCCCCCTGGTGTCCCCCGGGACCCACAGAGCACAGTGGGAGAGGAAGAGCTAGAAAAGGAGGTAGAACTAATTGGTAAAGTCCCAGTTTTAGCCTGGGACTGCTGCGCAGGGGGGTAGTGAGGTGCGATGGGTGGTGGGGATGAGTTGGGCATCTGTAGAGGAGGAGGCGACAGGGGGCTTTCAGAAGAGCCCAGGCCCTTGGACGTGTTACTGAGGAGGGCCAGTGCATGAGAGATAGAGTCCAAAGAGGGGGCGGTCAGGTCTTCATCCAGAGAGTCCGACAAACAAATGGGCTCTGACGGAGAGGTGGAGGGCAGCTGACGAGGCGCAGCGGGGGTGGACTGTAGAACAGGAGACGCACCCATAAGAGCAGGCTTTTGGACCCAGGCAGACTCCTGAAATCACACACTCACAGTTACTGTGTGCTAAACCATTACACAGTATAATGTTCCACCATCAAAGACAAACAGCACTGAATCACTGACAGATCAATAATATACAGCATGGGCCAGAGACACCCACCCGTGCTTTGGCCTTGGGTCCTGGCATCACCCTCCTCTTGACTCTGAGTCAAGAAAAAGCAGAAGTTTAATATTTTTCAAAACTTGCATTATTATTGATATATACTAAAATACTTACAAGTTTCCAGTGAGGTGACCATGAACAGTTAGACTTTCCTTAAACAAAATCCTGACAAAAAGAAAAACAAGTATAGTATGTGTACTTCTATATTTGTAACAACAGATTTCATGTGATGCAACACCAAGTGCCGGTAAATCTGTGTGTATCACACTGACCAATGACAGCATGCTGATTTCAATAGCTCTGTATGTGCTTGTGTAATGTGTGTACATAATGTACGTGTTTGTTTTCATGAAATTCATTTGCCTTTAGTAAACAGGTCAACAGCTCTAACATTACATTACATACAGTAGAAGAGCTGATAGCACAAGCATGCACAGACCTGGCCTGCATCCAGCCCTTTGGCCACAGTGGTTTGACCTCATTCTCAAAGAAGGCCTTGAGGTAGTCCTCCACAGACAGAGAACACTGGTTCTCCATCTCATAGCAGCTCAGCTTCACTCTCACCAAACTGCACAGCAGGGCCCTGCAGACACCAGTTTTCAGTTAAAATGCTTTATTTGAAGTAATTTTGAGGAGTAATACATTTATTTTTTACAACATATGCCCTGCCGTCACCTGAGCTTATCATCCCAGATGAACTTCTTCCTTGGACCCATCACCCGTTTGCCTGGTTTTTCCTCATCCTCCTCGTCTGAGCCGTTCTTTTCTCCTTCCTCTGACTGCTGCCTGCAGCGCACACACAGTTCACTCATTACAGAGGCCACTAGAGGGCAGGAGCGCTTACTGACACAATAGTAAATAGTCTAGTTGTTTCCAAACAGATTCACATACTTAGCAGCCTTGGCCATGCAGTCCATGTTGTATCTGGCGATCTGCTCGGGCATTACACTGCAGACGGCCAACTTGAGTTTGAGCAGAGGCGTCCGCATACGGTCATCCTGTGTCACATTCGTAAACAGTGTTAAAACAGAGGGAAGAGCAGAGGGACTGAGAACAACAAGCAGCTCAGAGTGTGGGGGAGTTTGTTGATGCCTTTTGTCAACAGTGCTACTCTAATGGGCCGTGACAGAATACATTTTGGAGCTGGATTTCAGAGCAGTCCTGGGTGCACTATACCGCCCACACAGAGCTGAGAGCGCTGCACATTTGGTAGCAAAGATAGCTGGGGATTAAAAGCCTAATATGATTGAAATAGTGCTGAGAAATCGGGGCATTTGGATTGTAAATTGGCCCTGTGTGAAGCTCAAAAACTCTATTGTGGAAACATTTAGCTCATTCTCATTCACAGGACTAGGAAAAAACAATTAAAAAGTTTGATCTAGCGACATATACTGTTATTTTGCCAAACATGAAAGTTTTAACCGTCCCTTGTGTGAAGCCAAACGCCTCACCTGGATGTTGAGGCTGAGTTTCTTGAGTCTTTTGAGGAGTGCCTCTTTGTTGCAGGGTACAAACGCCTCCAGGTGAGAGTAGATGTCAGCGCGAAGCTCGTGAGGCTGCTCCTGGACCTGCAGCTCAATACTACAACAAAAGAAGAAAAGGCTGTCAAACATAAAAAAGATTCACCGTAACTATAGTCTGACGCACACACACACAGAGGAAGGCAGCGGAGTAGGAAAATCAAATATGGATGAGAGAGTGAAATGAAGTTTTATGAGGACATTCACAGGCAGATAAACAAGAGAAAGACAGCGCAGGCATCAAAAGCGAGCAGTGAAAATGAGAGACAGAAATGACTTGGGACTTTGTCGTGATTTAAAAGCTGTCCCACTCACTCCAGCAGAATGTTATTCATGTCCAGGGTGAAAAATTTCTTCCTGCCCTCCTGATCAAACTGCCTCGAGGCCTGTGGGAGAAAAGCATGAGTCAGCACACCTGCACAGTGCATTTAAGAGAAGCTATAGAATCCGACAGGCACTCATCCTGGACAGCCAACTGACCCTCAAGAGGCTAAATAAAACTGATACATGTGGATGGTCTAAACCACTCTTCCCAACTTTTTCCACTACTGGTACTTTATTAGGCATGGGACGATTTAGAAATTTGGTGTCACAATTATTATGGCCAAGATAACTGCGATTAACAATTATATCACGATAACTAAGAAAGTTAATGGCAGTTTTAAAATGTTATGGCTATGAATAATGATAATTTGAATATTATGAACTGTCAGAGTGCTGTACTTTGTTAGGGAAAGTGAAAACAACAATGATCTAAAAGAAAACATCATGGATAAGTAGCTTTTTTCAGCACATACTGGTGACAAAACGATAATATAAAATGTCCATGAACAATTATTGTCAACCCATTTTCATCATGTAAACGATATTATTGCTTATGGTCCCATCCCTATACTGTATAAAATATAAATAAATATTCCATACAATTGTGTTCAAATGTTTTATAAATGCAGTCTAGATAGCCCTTGTTGCTCTAAATGCCGAGGTTTTTTGAAATGTTACCCTTTCATCAGGCTAAACCATAAACACTCTCTCTTTGCCGATTGGTCCACTTCACAAACACACTCCACTGTCCTGGCTCCCACTCGGGGCAGCCTGACTCACCGCCCGCAGGTCCTCGATGCGTTTAATGAGAGGCGCTGGAAGTCCGTTGGGCAGCGGTGGAGGGGAGAACAAGCTCCGCCCCTGACCCCCTCCTTTATGAGAAGATGAGCCCACTCCCAGAATTCCATTTTCTCTCGCCTGGTCTGAGTCCAACAAACTAAAGTCCAGGTCTCCAAGTAGATCCTGGAGCTCCTTCTCATTGGCAGAGCCCAGGAGAGACATGACAGCAGGGTCCGCTGTGAGGTCAGCCAGCAGCAGGTCACTCGCTGTGCTGCCCGCGGCGTTTGAGGAGTTAGCGGCTAGCATATGGTTAGAGTTTGTGGAGTGAGCCTTGTTGGCCAAACCTGAAGCCAACCCCGTATGAGAAGCGTTAGCAGTCCGTTTACGCAGGTCTTCTTTCTCACGAGAAAATCTCCTGAGCATCGCAGCCAGGTACAAGGAATCCTTCATCAACTTCTTCCTCTTCTTCTTCTCTGGCCTGAGAGTGGTCAATCTGTAACAACAATGCCTTCTGTTTAATTTATCATTTAGGAAAAATATCAAATTCAAATCACCAAAAGTCACTATTTAAATATGATCACCATATCAAATCAATCAGTAGATGAGCAATGGAACAATATTTTTAGGGCCATGATTTTATTGTGAGCACCATTTCTGAACACTAGTGGGGAAATTGTTACTTTTTGTACAGCAGAATTTGAGTTATAAAGGCCTGAATAAATCCCATCTACACTATTTATACTATTGCACATTCAGAAAAGAGCTTACTTGGATTAACAAAATACAAGGTAATTGTGAGTGGTGTAACATACAGTAGTTTCAAGACAAAAATACGAGACAGTTATCAGACAGACCTAACCATGTATTAAAAAGTAATCTTGTGAGTAATCTATAATTATTAGGCTTTATTGGGTTATTTTTGGCCAATACAATAAGATTTAAGATGTAAAAAAGGTTGAATTTATGACTCATTACGGATGTAAACCAAGTACTTAAGCGTTTCATTTTGCTGTTTATTCATTGCATCGCATAGTTTTTAACAATATTGTAGATTTAGAATAGCTTTTGTGGTTTAAATCTGCTCTTGGGTTATTGTATCAGTGGTATAAATTAGTGTCAATATTTCCGTTTACGTTCTATATTCACTCCAGCATTATATGGCGGTTCAAACAGGCCTAATTTTTATCATACAGAAAGTAAGTGCAAGGACCTACCAGTGAGTCGTCAGTAAAAGTGTTGCATAATGGTGATTGTAGTGGCTATTTTTGTACTTTGTTAGCAGAGTTGTGGCATCAGAGCATTGGACCTTCCAGGGTAATAAGACATGGCTCAGAGTCAGACTCAGCATCACTGCCTCATGGTAAATGTATGAGAAACAGCAGCGCAATGAGAGACGGTATTATTAGCACGAAGGAGGAGACAGAGCCATGCTGCGGTCAACATTTAGCCACAAATGCCACACTGTACTCAAAGGTCAATTGTTTAACAAATAATTGGTTAGTAAATAGAGAACTGTGACTTAGGCCTATCACAAAAACAAATTATGAAGCACGATATATTGCTACAAAGACAGACAATGATAAATGATAATACTAAACCATTTTATGCCACTGACAGTAATGCAAGATGGTCCCAGTAAACCATTTTTAAATAGAAAGTATCATTAAACGGCCTGAGCTCTAATAAATAAATAACAGAATGAACCAAAAATTTGCCTTTTGCAAAGAAATAGTACACACGATAAATATTAAGCCCCAAAATATATTGCTCCAGCTTTCATATACTGAACGATAAGTTGTTATAGTAATTATCATAACAGATCTACTGTGAGTACAAACAAATCATGCGGTTTTTTCCCCAATATGATGGAATATTGATGTACCAACAGGCAAGATACAATATTTACAGATTAAATTATTTTTGAAGAAACCGTTTAAAAGGGCCTATATTATCTTATTTGTTTATTATCTTCTATTTCTGATCTATGTTATAATGTTGTTTTCTCATTAAAAACCATACTTGACAGATTATTAGTAGACAGACTAATAATACAGCATTACTCAAACATTTGTGAATGAAACAAAACACTGTTTTGAAAGAGGTAACAACATTAGAACATGACTAAAAGCTCATAAGAGTCAATTTTGTGTAATATAGGACCTTTAACTGCTACTCTGTAATAACTATTAAGCATGTGATTTTGTTCACTCATTGATTTCTTTCTTCAATCTTTTCTCTTCTTGATACAGCATTGATACATTGGGTCAATACAGCTGAGTCATGTCTCTTACCCCTGTTTAGGTACTTTGTTCTTCTTTGTGCTCTTTTCCTCTGGATTGGTTGCCTCTTTCTTCCTCCTCCTCCTCACCACCTGCGCCTTATCATTGGCAGTCTGAAACAAATAGCATGAACTTATCAATGTGAATAGATTGTTATAGAATAGAATGGGGCCTGAGAGGGGGGAACAATGGTTTAGTTTAGCAGTGTAGTAATGCAAGTCACTGTGAGTGGAGAGAGCTCGTGTCTTGTCTCATTAATACACGGCGACGCGCTGGGCTCCTGCTGACAGCTCTGGATCACTCACTGCTAAATGTTAAGGACATTAGTATCTCTCCAGATTCAGCCATTGTATGTCTGGTGTTCATGCAGCTACACCATCGACTGTATGAAAAAGTCGACTAAAGGAGCATTCGGCTACAGTCAAATGAAGCTCATGAGGTTAGCAGTTATAGGAGCAAATTTGGAGACGAGTTCCAAATAGTCAGTTAACAATAGGGTATCATGTAGAGCAGGTTAATACAAGGATTTTAAGATCAAAATGA